ATCACAATACGTTGCATTAGATACCAACAAATTTTGAATTTTTGGTCTGTGCGTCAACAAAACTCATTAATCTGAAACCACTGTTGTAAAAGCCATGATTATATATTTTAAAAAGATACCACGTCTTTTTTTAAAACACTTACGGCAGATTGACATTATTTTTGTTATAAATGCGTTTTGGTCATGACATTCGCAGTTAACACCTCTGGGTAATTAGTTCACCTGTTAATTCACAGGTAGGTATCGTAAATGCCCTTTGGCTATAGTATAAAATGGTGAGACCTACAGGTAGTTAACAGGCCTTCACAGGTAGGATATTTAGGTGTGCAAATTGTGTATTACTGTCTCTCAGCTTGCAGTTGATGTTCGCCTGGCCTGTCAAGTCCATCAACTGAGTACCAAGAGAGACGGGTCTTGGTGACTACATGTACTAATGCAGAATTCACTAATGCATCACATGACCGTAAAATATGAAATTATGAAAAAAATCGTTGCCTAAATCCTTTACTAAGTCATGTTACCTCGGACCGGGGTAAGTTCGGCCACGGGGTAAGACGGTCATCCCTGATATTTTGGGTCTGGAGCAACTATTCACAATTTTGTGCTCGAAACAGTTCACTTGACTGGACTGAACTTCAGTTTACATGAAAAATTGACGTGGAAACTGAAATATGAAAATAAACAAGAGTACCGCGGGGTGGAACAATATACGCCCGTCGAATGCCATATAGTACTAGTGTTATATACTTTCTTACATTGAAATAAGATCTGCATCATTCTAAGAGTGGTTAGCTGATATGCTATACAAAATGTAGAAGAAAATATCCGGACAAAAAAACAAATACTGAAATAAACAAAGTGCAATAACTTTTGCAAAAATCTTTGAACCAAAATTCTTTTAGTGAGACACAACTTCATATCATGATTATAATATATACCATGCAAGTTTCAAAGAGATCCGTTGAAAATGTAGGAAGAGATTGCCGGACAAAAATCCAATGCTATAATAAACAAAGGGTAATAACTTTTGCAAAAATCTTGGAATCAAAATTCTTTTAGCGAGACACAACTTCATATCATGATTATAATATATACCATGCAAGTTTCAAAGAAATCCGTTGAAAAATGTAGGAAGAGATTGCCGGACAAAAATCCAATGCTAAAATAAACAAAGGGTAATAACTTTTGCAAAAATTATTGAATAAAAATTCTTTTCAAGGAAACACAACAACATATCATGATTATTTCGCGGCCTACTAAGTTTCAAAGAAATCCGTCAAAACATGTATGAGGATATCTCCGGACAAAAAATCAAATACTGAAATGAACAAAGGACAATATCTTTCGGAAAAAAAATGTCGAATCAAAATTCTTTTAAGGGAGACACAACTTCATATCATGATATTAATGTATAACCAAGTTTCAAAGAGATCGGTCGAAAAATGTAGGAGGAGATTGCCGGACAAACAAAAGTTTACGCCGGACGGACCGACGAACAACCCCATACCATTATACTTCCGTCAAATTTGACGGGCGTATACAAATTCGAAAGTTTCTTTGGTAGGACAGAAAAAATTAGTTCAAGTTCAAGTTCAAGTTCAAGTTCTTTATTCACCAAAAGTCTTAAGACTTATAGGTACAAAGTAATCATGATACATTGTACATGTATATATGTTATAGGAGAGTGACTATAAGCATACAAGTGCAAACTAAACAAAGAACATAATACAAAAGCACAAAAATTATAAATACGTGTAGCTAATTAATCAATTTCGCCGCTTAGTGGCTAGATATAAATATTTACCTAGATTTGACAACTCTTTGACATTATTTACAGATAAAAGTTGGACAAGTTTGTAAACAGAGGGACTCTTATAATAATACTTCTTTATATACTTTAACCTCAAATCATTATAAAAAGGACATACAAAAATGAAATGAAATCCGTCCTCGACGTCTCCCAAATCACATTTGCTACAGTTTCTATTTCTGCGAATGATATTATTGTGTCTACCCTTTTCGATATTCAGTTGGTGAGACCTCACTTCTTTTTAGGTTTTACGAGCAAGTTGATTAACCGAATGGCTACTTATTTCTGTTTTACACTTATTACACTGTCACACCATGACAGCTTCACGTGATGGTTTATATACATGCATATACGCCTACAGTGTAGCATTGATTTTTGTATTCCTTTAATATTGCGTCAATACACCAGAAGTGGTATGCAGATGATGGGGAGAAGAAGAAAAGAGCTTTGCAAGGGATACGTGGATGTCTGGTCCAGGCAACACGTGAACAGTCATGACAGTGGCGGGAAAATCTAAGTTACATGCTTTATGACGTCATGGTACATAATGTTATTCCATCAGACTGTCTGTCCCATTTCCTGACAGACAGAACTTAAAGTTCAATAATTCTTATGATTCGGGTCGTGTTTGTTGTATGAAAAGTGTGGAATTTCTCTTTCATACGGTAAATATACTAGAACACATCAATTTCAACGTAATGAGGACTTTCGTATAGTGTTAGATCTTATGGACCTAACTAAAAATCCGATTGGGCGATGGTTTACTTTTGAATCCATTTTGGTGATATCAGCGATTCGAATATAGGTAATATTGCCTGTTCGAATCTGTGGTGTCATCAAATGGAACCAAACGTAAGTAATTTCAATTTCAAAGTATTTTATTGACAATACATATATAATACAAACATATAAGTTAACATTAAAGGAGATATTTGAACAGTATTGACAAAAGAATAAGACAACAGGCTTTGCCTATATCAGTCTTCTTCTAATTCCGGTAGATATGTACAATGCTTAAATATATAAAATGTTGTGATTCGTTTCCTCTCACACTCATGCACACCCACACCCACACCAGCTTATGTCTAATACTCGTTATTTAAGGGATAAAACTTGCCTGAATAACAATAATTATAACAATACATGAATATTCATTTGGAAATTTATCTAGCACGTATAAGTAACGAAACGTTTTGATGATTTAATATAAGAGTCAACATGTATAAGAATAGTTTTATTTAATTGGTTGGATGCATTACTAATACCATATACTAAACAGTGCAGATTTAAATATCCTACTAGATTATAAATAGTGGTAATATGATGCCTAATATTAGAATACAGAGGACATTGAAAGAAAAAATGTATTAGATCTTCCCTCTGTACACCACATACACAGGAAGCATCATCAATCAGATGGTCTTGTAACTTATCACAGTTAAGATCACTTTTAAAATTTCTTAGCTGACATAAAATTATGTTAAGTTTCCTCGGAACACAGTTAATAAAAGTTTCTGAGACGGATGTATCAAAGGTTTTTTTAAGTTTCTTTTTAAAAGATGAAATTGAGATGGAGTCTCGTACAGTGCTATCAAGTGCATTCCATTTTACCATTGTAGAAGGGAAGAAGCTATTCATATAAGTAGTAGTTCTTGTCTGTGGTATATTAAAGAATCTGTTATTTCTGAAGGTATAGTTATTATTTACATTTAGAAATGGTTGAATGATATTATCGAGATAAGTTGGAGTGTAATTATTAAGAATCTTATACATTAATGTTAGTTTATGATTTTGTCTTCGTGTGTGTAATGTTTCAAGTTGTGTTTCAGTATACAGAATATGATGAGATGTACCTCGTCTGAGGCCAGTAATTAAACGCATAGCTTCTAGTTGAACTGATTCTAAAAGATCTGATTCCGATTTGGTACAATTATCCCATACTATATCAGAATATTCTAGCACAGGTCTTATATAAGAGACATATAATGTTTTTAATGTATTCCTATCAACTGTAGTTTTTAAAATTCTAAGAATACTTAGTCTAGAGTTCGCTTTCTTATAAATATTTGAAATGTGATCTGACCATGTCCCTTTACTGTTAAATGTTAGTCCTAAGTGAGTATGGTGTTCATGTTGTGCAATTGGAGTATTGTTAAATAGCAGTTGAGGATGATTGTTAATGTGTCTACGAGAGAAGTTAATAGCTACAGTCTTATTCGGATTGAATAGGATCTGCCATCGCTTTGACCATTCAGAGATTGAGTCAAGATCATCATTAAGCATGTTAGTAGGTGTTGTAAGGTCATTGTTATTATTTACTATTACATAGAGAGAGGTATCATCTGCAAAGAGTTTTATATGAGAAGTTACATTATTAGTAATATCATTAATAAAAAGAAGAAAGAGGAAGGGACCAAACGTAAGTAAAACGACGGACACCTAATAAAACCCCACTAAAAAAACCCACTAAACTTTCAAATATCACATCCATCCGCTGCGTATATATATACCTTGTCTTTGTACAGACTGGTGCTCAGCGCGTTGGTATCACGGAACTATATTATATTGTTATCTAAGTCCGTGGTTGGTATAAAGCATATACACTGTACGTCTCTGCTCCAGACCACATGCCCCAATCAGAAGCTGAACGGCTTATACTTTCTTTTGTATCAATATGAATGCAGTGTCACTGGCATACATATATCTGTGACATGCTTTCAGATTTATTGATATTTTTTTTAAAGATTATGCCTACGTGGTATATTCATGTTTAAAAACCATTAGATCACATTTGTTGTTAGTAATAATTTTAAGTTAGTATCAATCTATGACAGAAGAGATGTAAAACTTAAGTAAAACAGCCTATAGGAATGTTGAGTTACTGAGTAAGGATTAACCAGAGACGTATATATTACCCCAGCCGGGGTAGAGGAGGCCGGGTATTAATACTAGTACTGACTTAAATAACGTGGTACTCCATTAGACAGAGACGCATTATAACTGACGTTTTTACGTCTTCCATCACACCTATTTTGTATTGTATTCACGATAAACTTGTAAATATAGGACACCAGACCTGTCTTAGTTTATTTTGCTGCATATCTTTAACTTGCATGTAGATTTCGGTGCTAATAAAACCGCACGTCCCAGTGAACTACACAGTGTTGTGAACCGGTCGGGCTTCCGTATTATGCTATGCAGTGTAGGAATCCCCTTTACTTCCGGTGGTTTCCCCAAAATTGTAACCAACCACGCCAAGCCACCTGTACTTCCTGTGAAACGCTTTGATGCTAACGAAATAAAAATGTTCCTATTAACCTTTTATCTATTTCTTTGTTTAATTTGCGTAAATGCACAACAGGGACAAGAGACTGATACGCCAGAATTTGCACCAGAAGAAAAATTCTTGGACATTTTACCCATAACTCAGGAGAACTTTACAGACGTTGTTTTGAACTGCAACGATCCATGGATTATCATTTTCCACGATGGTACTATGTCTATGGGATGGAAGAAGATGGCTGTTGGCACAAGGGGTGTGGTTTGGTTGGGGATGATCGACAAAACACTAAACCCTGAACTCCTTTCTGACATAGTAAGTAACATTGTTTACTTTCGTTTTAGCTTCATTTTCCATAGGATAACATTGAAATGGTCTAGATTCCGGTATTCTAAAACCACTAGCTAATATTGTACATACATGTACGAATTGTGACTAAAACTGACTCATTGTAAATATGGTGAGTAGATTTTTATTTAGAATTCAAGGAATGGGGAATAGCCTCATTATGAATAGCATGTAATATTCAGTTTATGTGAAGGATTGCTATTATCCACAAGAAGAAGTGTATGTGACCATACTTTGTACGTTGTAGAATATACCAGACTTTACCCTCGTATGAAGTTATAGTGCATATATGAGATTGGAATGTACGTTGCTATGTCGGTGTTACACTAGCAACGATGAGTATCAATTAAATACAAACAATAAGTAAATAAATACATAAATTTTCATATATCATTGCATATTCACTTACTTATTATTCTATTTATGTCATATATTCGTGGATGTATGCCCATCTAATGTTCTTTTACCAGGGTGACATACTTCCATACCAGGAAAAAACTCCTGAGTTTTTAGATGTTATGGCAAATGTTGTGAAAGTATTGCTGAGTTGCTATGTGGGTGCAAGTGTAGCAGACATTTTTTTTTAATATGTAAATATTCCTCTGCTAAGAGTCGGACCAGGCACCTTTGTTTTACTAGTCTTACACTCAACCAAATAAGCTAAAAAGAAATTCTCCCAAGCCGAGTCAGTGTAAGAAATGGCGCTAGTAAGTTACCAGAGTGGCATAAAAAAAGTGATCAATATTAATGAAAAGTCTCGGAACATCTAACCCCACCACCCGCAAATCATTCACAAGACTCTAATTAAGTAATGCTTTTCTCAATGGTTTAGTTCCATATTTAATGTATACCTGAAGACTTAAGGTGCTACTGCATTGGTATTTGAAGGACCAGATTGATCATCTGAGTAAAATGGAAATTAATTTTTACTCTGTACCTGGATAAACTTAATGGTATTGACAAGTGTGTGGAGTAAAGTATGTATATATACAATAGTACAGAACTGTAGTATATCTAGTAAATTTGCCAGAGTAAACTTTCTAAACTTTGAGTTTAAAATAATTTTAGAATTACAACCCAGCCAAAGATGGGGAGTCACGAGTGTATCCCTATGGAGGAACCCAGCATAAGAAAAAGAAATGGGTGTCTGCTAAAAATCCTAATGATGCTAAGATCGCTGCCATCAAGTCTCTGCCAGACCAGACTTTAAGGATGAAGGGCAAGGATATTCAAGACTTCCTTGTTGAGTGTTTTTCTTCATCACCTTCACGCTTCCCTATTGTACTACTTACAGGTTTGTATCACTTATAATCAAATCATATACATCTCCTGTTAGTGAGATGGACAAATCTTAACGCGGAACCAAATACATTCATTTATTGAATTCGGTTCCTTACCTGGAAGAAGAAGAAGGGCATGATTTTAATCTGAGGGTTTGATAATATAATAATCTTACTCAAAGTATTGAGATTTGCCTCTTTTACCCCAAAAGGAGTGCACAGTTTCTTTTCCTCTTATCCAGGAAGGATAGAGTGATTATTTTTTTCCATCATTGAAAAAGATTTTTACTAAAATATAAGGCTTTAAGGCTCAACTTGTTATATGAAGTGATGTCAATTGTTTTCATTGTGGCATCACAGAAATCGTCTTACCCTAGTGTGAGGGAGGACAAGGAAATCCCACACCACGAAAAACCTTGTATACATGTATGTGCATGTCCAGGGTATAAGAGAAAATAACATCTTTTCCTGTTGATATGATTTGAATTTGTGGGAGTATGAGAATGTACTCTAAAAAGACTATTTTACTCTGATTTACAGCAATTTAGTTTGTCTGAACAGAATCTGTCAAAATATTTACAGTACACTGCTAAATCAACATGATAATATAAAATTTCAAATTAAAATAAAATTTATCAGGCCTTGAGCTATGGCTCGCATCTAGCTACAGCTAGACCAGATATTATAGGGAAGTGATCTCTTTATTTTTGTTTGTTTCAGACACTCCAGATACCCCATCCTTGTTCAAAGCACTAGCAATAAGATTCAGAAAATATTACAATTTTGGGAGATTCGTAGATGCTACAATAGAGGATTTCAGATCTCTAGGACTAGGTCTTGAAGACGACACCTTTGAGCTTCCTGCCATCTTGGTTTTGGTCCCACAGAGACCTGGAATGATCGAAGAAATAGCATTCAATGCGGTAGAGTACCGCACCAATATCATGGGTGTTATAAACTACTCTAACGTCCTCCAGTTTTTGTTTGCTGTAAATAACAAATATCGATACTGGCTGCCAGGCAGTAACATGTCAAACCGTAGGGAAGTTGCTGAAATGGAAGATATTATTGAAATTGAAAACAGGAGATTTGACATTTTGTTTGAGGGGAAAAAAGCAAAAATCACTAAAAAAAAGGATGAGAATCAGGAAGAACAAATAATGTTTGCTAAAGAGCAACATGAAAAGATACAGAAAATGAGCAAGGAAGAACTATAGCTAACAGTATCAATGAACCAGTTTTATTGCTACTGTCTTTTAAGTATATAGTACACTACAATTAAACCTTGTCAATCATGGATCCTTTAATGTGAGAAACTTTTGGAATGGATTTCCCCAACAGTAATTGTTGATAAGGAAATTCATATTCTGGATCTGAAACACTTTTTTTTTTTCATGCGAAAACGATAACATTCCTTATATTAAATGATATTTAGTTTGGTAATTTTGTGCTGTACCAAAATTTCCGGTTACTTATTATAGACATGCAGGCTCATGAACAAACACATCATATACTTTACATAAACTTATTATTAATGCTCTTCATTGTCATTTTAAAGAGCAAACATTTTTCATATTATCAATAAACTGGGACTTTACAGGGAAAATTTTGCTAAGGTTTAACCTCTACGATTTTGGCCCTCCATAATGACAGCAAATTTATCCTGATGGCGGAATATTAATCCACAACAATCTGTTATTAGATATACAGGGCAAAATAAATGCTGGGCATATGGATTTTACCAGTAATGAGCAAAAGTTGACCAGTTGAAAATTTCCTAGTATTTTGTAATACACACAAAGTGGAATATTTTCATTTTGAATCAGTCTTTTATCTTGGTCAGTAGACCCATGTGGGAAATTTGGAAGGGTCATTATTTATATTACAGAGAATGGTTTGGTTGATGATTTATATTTACATATTTTACCCTTTTTCTTTGATATTTTATCTCTAAAATATCTAGAATCCTCAAACGTACAAATCAGAACAAGACCAACCCTATATATGGAGATCTGCCTATACGGAGAAGTCACTATACAAGTTCTCCAAAATCTTGTTACAAGTCCATGGTTTGTCTGGTAAAATGTTTGCGTTATGATGGATTTTTGCAATATATTGAAGAAGAATTGAAGGGAGATGCAATGGTTTAACGAAATAGAGAGATCTGATTTTACTATTCATTTGTTTTTCCCTCAAAGTCTGTCTGTGATACGCAATATATGTAAATGTAAATCATATTTTTAAAATTTTGTAAGTCATATATATATACATTGTTTGTGCATATCCAGAACTAACTTTCAATTGAAATGCTAAAAAAATGATTATTCATCACAGAAGTTGTCTTTAACGGATGTTTTATTTTGAAATAGAAAGTCTGACATTCACCATTCATAAAAACATTTTGATCTCATAATTTGATTTACCCTGGTGTGTATCCAGATTTTCATCACAGAGAGTGGGACACCTATAAATGTACTCCTTACTACTGTATTAAAATAATAACACATGTATCACAATAGTTTTCACTTTCTAAGAATATGGACAACCTTCATCTTCATATTTGAAATATGTATAACTATCTGAATTTTGTTATTTCCCATTTGGGCATGCTGACATGGCCTTGTACACTTTGCTGGTACATCTCACCAGGTGCAATCTGATTAAAAACCATATCTGATCTTTGCTGTTCTGTAGATATCTTTTACATATCATGAAAATTAGTAAATGGTCACATACTTAAGACAGATTATATTTTTTATACAAATTGAATTGTCATAATATGTTTTTATAATTTTTTAATTTAATATGGAATACTCTACATGTGATTTTTTTACTTCACCTTAGAGGGAAATACTATGTCGGCGTAGTTGTTGCCGTTCAAATTTTTCAATATTGTGTTAAATTTAAAAATCATGATAGGTTAACACCTATTAGACATAATCACAAATACTTAGAGAAGCTATAATGTTTTATACAGCTTTTTTAAAATACATTTTCAAATTGTTAGCCGATTTATAACAATAATTCTGAAATAAATCAAATTTTGTACACATGCATTGTTTAGTTTTTATTCTAGCCACAACACATGTATGTACCAATACTTTCTGTGTTATCAGTGTTCAGAATAACCAATTAGGGCTGCTAGCATCAAGGTATGTTCTATATATAGTCAAGTAGCAATTTGTATATCAACTTCTGCAAATGTGTTAAAAATTTGAAGATTCTGCTACACTACACTGCTTTGCCAGTTCTTTAGTTCAATAACACACTTGCTGACTCTGCTACAGTGATAGTCTGGTTTATAGGTTAATTACACACTATAACTTTATTATAGCTGTGATAATCTGGTTTTTAGGTAATGATCCTACACGCTTGGTGATTCTGCAAAAGTGGTAAGTTAGTTTTTAGGTTGTTTTATTTTTTACACACTTGATGATTCTGCTATATTGTTAAGTTTAGATCAATTACATGCTTGATGACTCTTCTAAACTATTAAGCCAGTTTTGAGATCAATGAAACTGGATGATTCTGCTATAGCGTTAAGTGTTTTTTTTTTTTGGTCAATCACATTCTTGATGATTCTGCTATAACAGATAGCTGTTTTCTAGGTAAATTACACCCTGGATGATTCTACTGCAACGCTGATAAGCCAGCTTTTAGGTCAGTAACACTGGAAGATTCTGCTATAACAGTTAGCTGTTTGCTAGGGAAATTACACCCTGGATGATTCTACTGCTACGCTGATAAGCCAGCTTTTAGGTCAATAACATTGGAAGATTCTGCTATAACAGTTAGCTGTTTGCTAGGTAAATTACACCCTGGATGATTCTACTGCTACGCTGATAAGCCAGCTTTTAGGTCAGTAACACTGGAAGATTCTGCTATAACAGTTAGCTGTTTGCTAGGTAAATTACACCCTGGATGATTCTACTGCTACGCTGATAAGCCAGCTTTAAGGTCAATTACAAAATGTACACACTGGATGATACTGTTATAGTGGTTAGATAGTTTCCAGGTCAGTTGCATGATGAACCAAGTATACAGGAACAGTCACTGTACATCCAAACTTTCAGGCTTAGCTTTCATCAGGGATAAAAAAAATATATCTAATTATAGATTGTATGTAATGTCAGTACTTCAATTCAGTCCTCGTATCTTGTAGAGTTACTGCAATTATTCACGGTACACTGTGGAAAAAAATATCATTTAAACTTGTGTCTTGTACAGTGTATCAATACGAAAACTTGGATGTAGAGTGTCTGTTGCTATTTATTTTGTTATGTTCCCTCGAGGAACTTTGTGATAGACATGTATACAAATATGCAGTGCTTGTACAGATCACGTAAAACCAAATAAAAGGCTTTGTCAAGGCCCTTGTTTACACTTTCAAGCGATTGGGGACTCTTTAACATGGCATGCTTTAAGTCTCCTTAACCTGAACAACATTGTTCATGTGACATCTGTTACCTATAGAAAACATGACCTAAAACTTAAAGAGTGATCTACCTGCCGGTAGACATTCATAAGCTTCATATTACCACCAAAGTCAGTAACTTTTCAATTATCGTGGTTTTCACTATCAAATACACAAATCTTGGAAAACATCAATTTTTAAGGAAGATGACATCTATGTATACTTTTAAAGGGTTGTCTTTGCAAACGGAAAGGATCCTTCTTATGCCTATGAGCTATGGTGGAAATTTACTATACACCACTGTACAAGACAAAGGTCAAGAATATTTTTGATTTTAGTGAACCAAAAATAATTCCAGCAACATGCATATGTTACCATCTACAAGACACAAGAGGACTAAATTAAAGTACTAATATCACATCAAATCCAGAATTGGGTTAACTTATGAAAGTTTTCTGAAAAACAATATTGAAAAAGCAAGATGAAATAACCTAGTATTTGGCTAAAAGCATAGGCAAGATTTTCTACAATATGCTTCAAATACCTGGATATTTTTCAGTTAGTGACATTATTTACGACAATATCAAATTCAGTTGAATATCTATTGACACTCGTGGAATTTTTTACTGTCATTGTTCATATGGAGTATCAATTTATATTATCCTGAAGAATTTTGTGACAAGATTATAAAAAAATTATATTTCACCAAATTGTCCCTTTAAGGGTGTTATTTGACTGAATAGCCCCTTTAATGCTTTGAAATGGACAAAGAAAAAGAAGTTTTGTTGATTCAACTTACATTCCTTTTATTTTACACCCATGGACATAATTGTTTTTTCAATCTCATATATATATATGGTTGTGAAATAAGAATACTGTTATTTTTTTAACTACTGGCCTTGTTTCACACTAGAAAATGAAAACAGAATAAGCACAGGTATATAATATTAACTTTGAACTCTGTGATACAGTAAAGCCAGTTCACTACAAACAAACAATACAAAATCATGCATTTGACAAGAGTCATTTTATGGTCGTTGGCATTGAATTATCTCAAAAACACTAAACAATTTCCTAGCTTCCATTAAGTTCATCAAAACCTTGTTTTACTGCATTTAGGTTCCCTGTGATTTGCTGAAAACCAGTTTTACTGTCCTTCAGTTGTTAAGTTTTGATGCCATAGATAATACCCAATTGGGTTATCCATTCATCCATGAAGTTTTGGATTGTGTGTGCTTGCAATTAAAAGCTATGGTCATTTGGACATGCCAGGTTTTGGCAGTGAAAAGAAAGAAACCGAGAGTGTATGTACCTTATGACTGCCCTATGTAGGCCTCAAACCTGCGAACCAGTGGTGGAGGCCTAGTGATAATAGATATTCAGTGGTCTTAACCACTTGCCCACTTCTTCCCATAAAGAGAAGAATAGGATTTTACTCTAATCTATTGTTTGGACCAAATTTGAAATCCTTTAACCTGTTATGAAGGTGAAGGATATTGAAAAAATGTATCTATATTTCCACTTTAATGCCCTGCACCTCTGCTCCCAAGTGGGAAGGGGTTTGGAAAGGCCTCATCCTCTGTATATACAAGTTGAATTTCCTTTGCCAAACATCATTTCAGTTGTTCTTGACTTAAAAACTTGTCAGTTGTTCTTGACAAGATGTGGTTAAGGTTTAAAGGAAAAGTTTATGTCAATGGGACAACGGAAGCCACTTCACAGCATATTATGTAGCACAATTGCAAACTCACTTGGTGTTTGGACTCTGTGAGCTAAAAACACAGAGTGTCTGAGACCTAGAAAAGTGTTGTTTTAAAGGTCTTAAATTAGAAATCTCATTCAAAAGCTTAACAACTCTTCACGTTATATAATAAAGAAAATGTCATTACCAGTCAACATACATTTTCAAAATGTTTTGAAACCCTGAATTTGTCTAAAAAGTACTGATGGGTGTTGAGCTAACACAATTTTAGACTTTGCAATAAATTAACCACACACTGTCTTTAGTTATCATCTCATGAATTTTTCTCGGTTGCTGAATCAGATTTTGCATTGTCTGAAGAAGGAGATGATCCAGAGAACCAATCCATCATTGCGAATCCTTGTCTCATGAAGAACACATGGGTCCTGTCATAAAATGCACCAAATGAGTCATAAGCAGGTCGAACATCCAAAATTGAAAATCGGAAGTTTTTATCTACTTCTCCACCATCGTAATAGTCAATAATATAGCGTACATCCTTGCCACACCTATCCACAATCCAGTCGTGGCGATCGAATGGTAACTCGTATCTAGTGGACATAAACAAAACAGAAATCACACACTCATGATAATAGAGGATTGACATTTTATTTTACAAATGTACATGCATTCGAGAATTGCTTCAAATTTCATCATTAACCTTTCCCATTTCATTATCAATCAATGATCAGTTAGTGATAGTGAAAAAATTGATCCTAAAGTGACAGGGAAAGAAACAGGGATGTATTACAAAAATGGATAAAATGCATATGATTTTGTTTTAATTACCTTATAAAAACATCATTCAATGCTCTTTAGGACAAAAATGATAAGCAAAATTATTAATCAGATCAATTTTCAAGTCTTCTCCATATCTCAATATTATTAATTCTGTTTGAAACAAGCTTTTCTATTGGTTTATTTTTTTATGTAATCAGCTCATAACATAAAAAAACTGACTAAGGGAACAACTTTTGGGCGAAAGAACTGTAACAAGCATTTTGTTTGGATGATGGAAATAGTGTCATTATGACGTCAGCATATTAGAATTAAATTTTAAGTATTTATAAACTTGAATGATTTTTTTGTAATTGAGCCATTACATAAAAAGGAGCATATCAAGGATAATTTTGAATCATGACAGGCAATTTTTTTTCTTTTTATTGGTAAGAGGTGTATAATGTTCGAGTTACTTTTGATTTTATTTCACTTTCTGATTAAGTTATTCTTACCCCATCCAACTCCTTATTCTAGCCCTTGGAGAGAAGTCTTTGGCCTTGCCTCCAAATTTCTTCAATGCTGGTGTAGTGCACTCTCTATCAGAAAAGAAACAAGTCACTGGTGATTTTTTTAACAAAATTATATAATTACAAAGTTCTGAAGTCAATCTTGAAAAAATAAATCCTTAGTTTACCTGATAAAAATACATTTTGGTAGAGATAATCAAATACTTCAGAGATAAACAACAACAAAATAATGTAACTTTTCTTTATTTAAATCAATATAAGGTTTTAAAATGAATGTGAATGATTGTCCTCAAGAAAACATAGATCAATGATTTTCAAATTTCAATAATATCTAAATGACTGGAAATATTATCCATTCTTCAACAATCCTTCTTTTTATTTAATTCTAATTCATTGATTCTGTTACAAATAATAAAATCACATCTTACTTTGCATGGAGAGCCTCCCATTTAAGGACCTCATTCCAGCCTTGTTCATTATTGGCATTGTGAATTTTTATAATGTCAGTCATATCTTTGGCTTCCAGGTCATCTTCCTTCCACCTCCAACCTAGTATAATATTCAAGTAATTATATAAATCTGAATACTTTTCAAGTTTATAATAAAACATTTGTTTAAAAAAAGATAAGACAAAAAGGTACCAGCAAGTTTTAAAATGCTGGTAACATGTATATATGCCAAATGGCACAGGAAAGAGAATAATTGTCCTCCTTTAATTTTAAATATATTGGGTGGTGCATGTAAAACCAAACCCTATTTCCAGTGACTTAACTGCCAACTAAATGAAACTTGTGACAGAAAATAGGTATTAGGGCTAAGCATACCCCCCGCCCCTTATGGATTCATGGTGAAATTTTAATTTTAGTAACAGTCACCATGACATCTGATGCTCATACCCAAATTTGAATATGCCCAAGGTATGTGAAAAGTTAACTTATATGTAAATTAAATCAAAATCTTTCAATAAATATGGTTGCTAGAGAGACAACAAGGAATGTGAAGAACTGATGAGACTCAAACAGAATACTGCCTATCTTACATAGCTGGGGGGATAAAAGAAATAGCGTTAAGGAAACACTGAGCAGAGTAAGGAGTGCACACCCTAGTCAGGTGGGCATGGCAGACACAGGCTTCCCAGCAATGCCAAAGTAGCATGGATATCCCCTGTTTGTATTGTCTTTTTGTGATACTCTATACAAGAGAGCTTTCCGTGAAAATCTGTGGAAATCTTGATGACAGAAGATGACTTTCAATCACTTTCGAACTTTAAATAATAGACAAATAATAGACAATATTAATAAATTCATAAAATATTTTAGCAGTTTGAAAAAACAAATCTATGATATTATGACATTTTGTTTGTTTTGTAATGTTTGGTTCCATAGTGTATAACATACCAGGTAAAATATTTATCATGTACATATATCATCTGTGAGTTCAAGATTCCTAATTCTTTATTTTGTTGCTACCCTTTTTTTCTCTCTCACAAGGATGTATTTATAACTACATATATTTACAATTAAATAAATATGAACCCAAACCTTTTCTCAACATAGCATTCCAAAACATCTGCTCTGATGGGTAAACCCAGTTGTCTTTCGTGCCTGCCTTAGGAATGCCAGAAATGATTCTGTCCTTTTCTAATGGAAATGGTTGATCTGGTGCAGGGCGCTGGTTTGGTGGTGGCATCTGTTCAAATAAAAATCACAAGTTATTTTCATATTAACAAGACAAAATATAAAATTCTGCAATAATGAATTTGTAGTTTCAAGATTACCCGGTCTTAGTGTTACTAACTTGGTATGGAAAGTTCATTGTACCTTGTACTATCCAACAAGTCTATGTGCTCATAGGGTCCAAACTGCACTAGGAGCAATAACTAGCTGCTATTATGGCTTTAATTTAACAAGGCATGTTACATTGAATGTTCTTATCCACCAAGGGACCTTCAAATGCTGGGAAGTACTGGTAACCCTTAACCCCTGAAGACACATTGAACTCTTCCAATTAAAAGGTTGGAATAGTTCATTATGAATTTTCAGGGGTGAATGAGTTAAAAAGATTTGCATCCTTAAAAGAGGGGACATCAACTCTCAAAAGTTACATGCAAATTATATAGATCTATCAGTTACATTTTTAAGCCACATTTGTAGTAAAACATATTGCAGCATTGCAAAAAAAGTGCAAGAATTTTCCAGTTACCATATTAGCTGGATCAATGTCATTAGGTGGTGTCTTCTGACCATCAGCAGCTCCTTGATGCATAGGACACTCGCTAGGGTAACTCTGTGGCGCGGTTTGTGGTTTACTGTTTGCTTGTTGCATAGGACATTCACTAGGATAATTCTGTGGTGCCACATTGTTAGCATTCATGTCTTTCTCCTTAGCATCCTTGTTATGCATTGGACATTCTGCTGGTGGAGAAGCTGGGTTCTGTGGTACCTTTGGTGCAACTGGAGTTGAGTTACTTCCTCCCATGGTGACATATATTATTTACCCGTCAACTGCAATATCCTATGAAACAGAAAAGAATACACATTTAACATTATGAATTACCACACCCATTTAATACTTTATATAAAACAACATAGGGGTATGACTCCTGACTAGTTATTTTTACACATGAATAAAAGTATTCCTACAATGACAGTCATGAATTTATAAAGTAGATATAAAAGGCATACAAATCAGCATTTTACATTAAGCATTATATATTTATATGGGAGCCTAGAATGCAGACGTAAATAGGTGAATTTAGCCAGTTTTTTTTAAAATTTCATGGTAGCAGAAGGTAAGCTATTCAACAACCCTCCACTCCAAAGAACATGTTTACACTAAATTACACCAAAATTTTGTACTGCGACCTGTATCATACAGATACCAAAACTGGACCCTCTGCAGAAGACTAGTTAGTTTGTCAGAATGGAGATATACCACAGAGCAGGGCATTACCATAGTCCAACCAAGATGTAACAAGTGGATGTAACCAAGTCTTGCATGCATCAGAAGTTGCAAACTTATGTCCAACAAAAATACATACCCACAGAAGTTGGTATAGGGTCCTGTATGTCTTTGAGGTTGAAGATTTTGTTTAAGGAGGGACACACGTTTCATTATTATTACATGGGTTCAATATTAATTTACCCCTTTTTTCAATAAATTTAGTTTGTTCATAACTTGATTCTTCATTAAGTTACAGTAAATATATTGTTTGAATGTTGCATACATTTCTTCAGAATAACTATTCAGGTTGACAGTTGAACTGATATAAATTTAATGCACATACTATAGTATGAACAACATTGAAAAATGAGGACATTTTCATGAACATTATGTTATTATTAAACACCTGCAAGTCTATCAGTATTTGTTTAATTTTGTGTATGATATTCTATTATTTTCTTTCTGAACACAGATCACAAGTTTAACTCCAGTTGACCCGTTCCTTTTCCAGCAATTTTCTCTCTCTTATTTTCATAAACTGAAGTGTGCAAGCCATACAGCTGTTAACTCAATACAAAGTTAAGTAACTTTAAGACGAATATGAACTTTCGCTGTAATATACATCGTTGTAAGCTTTTTTTTTTATATACATCGTTGTAAGTTTTTTTAGCTTTTTTTATGTTGCGTAAGGAATTTATTTCACTTATTCTGCATTCAATGGGAGGTAACTCCAACATTTATAATGAAAATCATCGTCCACTCATCATTGTATACATACTTATTATACTGATCGACACTTATATTTCTTCTAATAATAATTGACAAGTTAAATAATCAATTTACACCGGACGCGCGTATTTTGACGATAGCACCTGAAGTTGATGAAACAGTTCTCTCGTGAGGTTGACACTAGACCGGTGCGTTTTTTACTCGGATATTTGGTGATATCAAGACAAAAAAATCGTTAAAATGTGTCGTATATTGTTAAACTTCCTTTGTCATTAAAAAAGTAGAAGAAAATAGCTTACGTATTGATTCCTATAACCGAGTCGTCATCATGCTCCTTCAGTTGACTTTGGTTTCGCAATGTGCTGTTTCAAACTTCCGCTGTTACAAAAGTATGCGCGTGGATGATGCGCAGGATTTTGGCTCCACTTCCGGAAATGATTGGCGCTAAAATTGAAGATGGGAAAGTCGAAGGCTCTGAAAAAATCTATGGAAAACGATCAGAAAGAAAATGGGGTGCAAATTTCCAGGTATGAATCTTTTAAGTATCACCCATTTTGACGTTTTTATCAAACAGATATGAACAGGTTCGTTTGATTTCTGCTTTAAACGTTTTTCTTTTTTGACCCAGCCGGTAGCACTGGGATGTCGTTTTGTCCATTCATCATGATGGAGGGCATGCGAGGATAAATCGTTTGCATTCAAAACTTTTTGCTTGTCTGTGTGAATCCTTCGTAGAAGCCACGAGTACATACTGTTTTTACAACTAAACCATATGCAAAACAATGCAACGTAATGAAATGTTTTTAAAAGTATTCTAAAGAAGAAGAAATGTTTGTGTTTTTTGTGTTAAAATGCATTTGCTTTGAATCTGAAATAAAATTTATTAGAAACTGTGTGAAAATTAAATACTTAACACTTGATTTTGAATATTTTGTGAGTTTCTTTTAACATACTTGAAATTGCAGAAGAATGATTTTTGATTTCAACTGCTTTTTTAAATATATAACATTTTGTACTTCAATCTCTTAATTTTCCTTCAGATTTTGTAATAATATTTTGGATAATTGATTTTATGGTAATGCTCTATGGGTGATCATGTGACATCATAATGAAGTCACATGATCACCCATAGCTGATTTTATGACTTTATATTAATATGCTGCTAATGCATGCAGAGTAAATTAAATGAATATTGTTTATATCCATGCATGGCACCATTTTAAAAACAACTACCAGTAAACAACAAATTTAAAACAAGTGGCCCGATTGATGACATTTCCTTTACAAATCATCAGGACACCTCAAAACTTTTGCATCTTTTGCTTGTAGAAAAAGGAAGGCATCTGGTCAGCTTCAACCACCCAGGACAAAGATAATGTGGTCCTTCAATGACAACGATACTGACCATCTGTACAAAGAGCTTGGTGTAGGAGCTCTGTCATCCGAGAGTAGCAGTAGTGATGCTGATAGTATTACAGAACTAACTCCTACAGTGGTCAAAACAAATGCCTCGCAAGTAGTTCCAGGGGTAGGTTTAAAGAAATACATAGTTGATATAATGAAGATAAAGGAATGTCATTCACAACAACATAAGTTTTGAGTCCTTTAAGTCTGTTGCTTAACTTGAATACCTAGATTTAAGTGTACTTTAAATTGATATTAGTGAACCACTGAATAGTATCCATAGTGATACAACACAATCATGATAAACTCTAACAAAGTTACATATTCTTCCACTTTACTTGTGGATGAGTAAAATATCCTCCTGCTAAATCAGCTGTATGATTCTACAGTAGTGATGGGCTAGCTGATGATCAATCAAGATCGAAAATTAATAGGTTTACTGATTCTGATTATCAATTTAAAATTCCATAATCAATATTTATAATCGGTTCACCATTGAAACCAAAGCATTTAAGTGTCTTTCATGTAAAGTATGCTTCAAAGTCATATATATTCTTATGATTAATATAAATGCATAAAAGTTGCTTGATATCCATTCGGTATAAAAGAACAAAACCTTATGTATAGTTTACAACTCTATTGATGTAATAGTAATGTATTCACTTTATTTGGGTATTCAGTCCAATATTGTGCAATCGATTATCGATCGGTTTACTGTTTCCGATTACAAACTTATTGTTGATTATGATTGTAAACCTGGTTACCTTTCATTACTTTTGTTATGAACAAAAGGAAGTTTAGAATAATGTTTCATCATATCAAATAAAACATATATATAAGGAAAATATGGTCTGTTCATATTTGCATAACAATTTTACTCGATGCAATTAAATATTAAATGGAAAATAACTTTGAAAATGTTTTAAAAAATGGCTCTGTTGTAAACTTTTAAATTTCTCATATATATGAAAGTGATCCAGAAAATATCATCTGAGAATTCTTACGGTCACTAGTCATGATCAGTCGTCATGTTCTACATTTTCATGAATAGGAAAATACTAGGATTGGGACGAATCTGGAAATTTACGAATCTGTTCGATTTTGATCCCTTCGAATCGATTTTTTTCGAATCGATTCACTTGATACACACTTTCTCATAAAAACATAAGAATCTAGTATAAAACCTTTATTTAAGGTATAACAAAACAAAAGTAACAGTTTATAAAGTAGCCATGGTAACATATTAAAGTTTTTACCAAGTTAAAATGTTTTCATGCCATGCTTTCTTTTAAAAAGATTTGACATCGAAGATGTAGACACTGTTTGGTATGTGAATGCAGTGTTCCCTGTCACTTTTGTAATTGTTTTTTTTTGTACCCCATACTTCTCATAATAGGGACATGGCTGCATATATCTAAATCTAAACCTTATCTAAATCCCCATGGGTATGTAATATCATCACAAAATTATTAACTAATTGTAGCAATGTCATTTTTACAGGTTTATATATATTTCATAATATTTCCAGTTTGTCATAGAATAAAAACACCAAGAATTAGTCATTAACATAATCAAAATTGTGTAGGAGGCAGTACCCAAATCGGATCACTTTTGGCAAAAATACCTATACTTCAATAAATGTGCCAAAAAATCAGTTATAACAATGATGAATTCTTAGCCATGCAGGCATGCACCAGTTTATTTCTACAGATGATTCGTTTTTAAGTTGAAATTACACAAGAAAATGTAGTTCAATCTCAAATGTCAGTGTTTTGATTACGTTTTTAAAAATGGCGCTTATTACTGAAACAGAGATCATGTAACTTACCAATACTGGGCACAGACAGTCATTATGAAGGAATATGAAATGAAAAATGTCGTCTTTAACTGACGACTGAAATCCAAATAGAGTCTGCTGTTTTTTTCCCGTCGTTCATGATCAATTATGCAGTATAGTGATAATCAGCCCTGAGGATACCGATAGTCTGGCTACGCACTCGAGTATTATCGTAGGACAATGCAGACTCATTACCACCCGTAGTAATTATATTCGCCGCTTGGTGCGCTGTATGCATCGTTTACTTCTGGACTTCCGTCATTCGTGGGAAATTCTGACATTCACTTTCAATCTTCTGAATATCATCATTTAAAATACAAACATGCTACAAAAATGACTGTTTACAGTGTAGTTTTATAGCCAAAACAGGCAGCTTCACCACCCCCACAGCAAAAGTGTTTATATTTTTTTAATTTTCCAGGCACCAAAGATCCTACAGCCCAGTCAGTGTCTGAACACATCAGGATCAGAAAGGCATGGCAGTCTCTCCCTTTATGTGTCCTCGCCCGTCAACTACAGTCGGCAGAAAAGCAAATGTGATATAAGCATATGTGATACTCAAGGCATAGGTAAGTTAGCTGATAAGTATATGATTCAGCCTTTTCTTGTTATTATATACATCTTGCCGCACATCAAAATTTCCTCAGTACATGTAATATTACTTGTAAAATATAATCTAGAATGGTAAAATAAATTCATACAGTCAAAACAAAAGAGAGAAAATGTGTGAAATTGTTATATTCAAACACCACAGTAAACAACATTCAAAATAAGATTAATGCACCAAAATGGCAAATATTTCAAAAAGTTAAAAACAAACTTAAATTTTACATGATCATATACCTGTATGAGTACTCCATGTTGCACAACTTTTTGTATTTGTCCTCTGTACCCTTGTTTTATTTCTTAAGTATGGAAGCTTGTTGGGGCATACTTCTATTTTTACTGAATTCTTAGTAGGGCAGTTATGATACCTTTATACTATTGATATGATCCATATTTCTCGTGATAATACGTATCATATTGCCACTTCAATACTTCAAAGTGATGATATTCTACCTAAAAAACTTTTCTGCTGATAATGTTTTAATCTTCAGTCAAGCTCTTTTAATATACCATGATGGCAATTAACCTGTTGAATGATAGGAGAATTGAGATTGTAAACCACTCTGTGTCCTATATTTTAGTATTTGAAGAAAATTGGTATTGCAAAGCTTGAGGGCGACACAATGCTTCATGATATAAAAAAAAAATAGCTACACAAAATGAAATTTACTATAAATTAGTAAATCTTTGTTGTGACCAGTGTCCATCACACATTTAGTCACCATCACCAGCATGTCCCCATAAATCGTGATATTCGTGTATCATGGCTGTGTATTGCAATGTGTGTTGTATTGTGATCTAGGTAACAATACTCAGCACTAATTCTAATGTTATATTGTCTATATAAATCATATAATATATACCTTAACCTGCATAATATTCTGTTTATCTTTTTCAGATTATTTCGGTGGGCTTTCAGATGAAATTATTCTTGCTGTTTTCCGTTGGTTGCCAAAATTTACGCTTGCAAAATGTTCCCGAGTTTGCCATAGATGGAATCGCCTTGTGTAAGTACCACACTTGTCATATTCAGCTCAATTTAAATCCCCTGACCCGACCAATTATATGAATCTTGGACTTGTTGGAAAACAATACTCATTTGCTGAGCCAATCAAAATCTGAAGTGAAATATTTCTTGAATATGAATGCATGGAATATTTTCCCACAATTGACATATGTAATACTGACACATTCCCTTGTGTCTTTTATGAACAAAATGCATAAATGTAGAGGTAACAATAGGATGTATGATTTTAATTCACACCTAATTACAAAATTATGGTTTGTAGTTTCAAAGATGGGCACTGAACTTGAAGTAATTGATATACATGATGTGATCTCAGTTGTTTTAAGATGATTCAGTGCCTACACTCAGTATTAGGGATGATCATGTATATTTCATCCCTTATAAATGTATTACAGATCAGATGACTCTCTGTGGAAGAGAGTAGACCTGTCTAACAAGACCATAGCCAAAGGAACACTCGGCAACATCCTGAACAGGGGCGTTCAACTCCTGCGTCTCACTAAATCTGAGGTAATAAAGAATGCAAGTGTATATATATATATATATCAGGTCAATAAAGTCTTAACTTTCCAGCCAGTAGCCGGTAAAAGTAATACTCCTACTACAGATATTTTTACTGGCTACTTCCATGAAACAAATTGAAGAAGGGTAATGGGGTACTAAAAATGTAGTGATATTAACTACCTACTTTGTCTTGGAAACATGCAATTTGAAATCATGTTGAAACACCTGTTCAACAAGGGCTGACCTAATAAAGAACAGTGGGTTTGCACAGCTTGAATTCAAGTGACAGATTAATGTGAATCTTGTTTAAAATGCACCTGGAAGTTATTTTCTTGGCCACAAGAGCATTTGACATGAGAGGGTTAGCTTAGAAACTGAGGCTCATGATCATTAACCATCAAATTATAAAACCAGACAGGTCTGGTTCACCCAGTAACATTTGTGTATATAATCTAGTACCACCTATCCATTCAAGTCATTCAATTCAGTAAAAAGTTACACTTTTACATTTGGAATGACAATCTAATAACTCATTGTCACATATTTACATGACATGTATTCACCCCAAATGAATTAAATGGAGATCCTTATTCCATGTTTTTTTCTGCTTTAGGTGGAAGGACCTTTATTTTCTGGCTTCACAAGTATAATCAAGTCAACACGGTATGTTATGAGAGTTAGTTAAATGACATTCCCATTTTTGTGGGATACATCAAACTGGAATTAAGTACTAAACAGTCAAACTTATCCAACATTGTGATCAGAAATTTTAACTAAACCTGTAATTTTGGTACTCTTATGTGGTTTAACTATGACCAGTCTAACTAAAACCAGCTCTCAAAATCAAATTAAGGAATATACATTACAGGACATGAGGTCTCTATATCAGGGTATCGTGTACTTGTGACATTACTTACATTATTCAGAATGTGTGCTTACCAACTAAACATTGATTGGCTAGAATAAAAGATCACCAGAATATAACCACAGATCTATGCAAAATCCTCAGATCCTAATATGCAGTGAATCTGTGTAAATTAGTAAGAACTGGTTTTACTTGGATTGCCTTCCTCCTGCAGGAAAAGGAAAAGAAGAAATGCCTCTGAAGCACATGCACACTACACTAGCTGTACACATAGTAATTTTTTGATGACTTATTTTCTCATTTTAGGGGTGGTGGATCAACACCCCTACCAATCATTAACACTCATTCATGTTAAGATTTCAAACTGACTTATGGTACTAAACAGTACGAGCCTTAGATTAACACTATTGCTGAAAATCATGCACAAACATTTTAATGTATCTGGTATGATATATGAAATTATCTTTGCTACAGGTTGTCTAAAATTCAGTACCTTGACCTGAGTATGGCATCAGTGCCCGTGTCTGTCCTAGAGGAGTTGTTTTCCGTGTGTCGTGATTTGAAGAAGGTCAGCTTGGAACACTGCCAGCTCAGTGACGAAGTGTGCCAGTAAGTTGGTAACTCGGAGACTTTCTTTCTAAAGTAAATGTTGCAGAAATTCCTGTTGAGATTCAGACATGTTTTCTCTCAGTTTGTACAAGACAATATTGCAATTGAAAGTAACATTTTCTGGTATACATGTAGAGTAAACATTATTACATCGGGACCTGGTTTTAAATGATGTTTGGGGTATATTGTCAGTGATTTTTCAGCCTATATAAATGGGGTTGGATACCGATCCAATTCCCAATGAGATTTCATCAAAATAATTCCAAATTGCTCCGCTGAAATTCCCAACTGATTAACAATTTAAATTCCGTACATTTTGACCCGGTCATTGTTTTTGCGTATAGAATGCAAGTCGTCTGCAAACGCTTAGCTAATTTTGAATCACTGGGAAATAAAGCATCGTCTAACAACGGCAAATACTACACCAAAAAAAAACGACTATAGGACAGTAAGGGCTCCAAAAGCCTGTCTGATCTTGTTAAATGCAAACATCCACCACAGACGTTATCAAAACCTGCGCATTCGGATTCACTTGTCGAGCCAGAGCCGACATTGGTATCTCCACAAAAATCTAGACCACAATACCGCAGCATAAGGCACTTTTATCCATGGATGTTATACAATGTATTGTTGCTTCATACTTCTTTGCCAATTATAAATTAAATTTTGTGCTACCCTTAAACAAAACCTGAAGTCCTGGGATTGGGTAAATTTGTATGGTAATAGCCCTTGTAATACAATTTTTTCCCCAAAAAATACCATCTGTTTTTTCGCATTAAATTTTACCAATTTCCAGAAGAAGAAAAATTCCCCCAAAATAGCCTGAAAAATCGCTGATAGTTGTCTTATTTGTGCATTCATCTCACTGAGTTTCCAGAGCATATCTCATCTTCCTTGTCTCGCTCCACGCCACTACTTAAACCCAACACAACTCTAATATCCAATTTGACAATAGCTTGCTGGATTAATATAATTATGCCCCTACCATTTAATGGGGGACTACCAAGGACTGTCCTCTCCTGTCTCCATTCATTGACTTACATGTTCTTAACATCAAAGTTTATACAAAGATGAGGTATGAGAATACGTCTGAAGAGTTTGTATTTCAAGGTCTAAGGTCAAAAACAAGGTCACTGTTACCATTTATAAGTCAACCACAGAGCCAAAGAGGCATTGATGTCATAAAGGCATTCTAGTTTCTTTAAATCATTAAAGATATTATAGCAACACTTGCAATTGAATTGAACCAATATCACCTATATGTGTCCATGTTAATGTTACAAATGCATATTAAGGGGAAACTGTTTTGTTTTAACAAAAATATATCTTTCAACATTGATTTCTTGTTTTTCAGACATATTGGAGAGAACAAGAACCTCGAAGTCATCAATTTAGCCATGTGCCAAGGAATAACATCCGCTGGTTTAATGCCAATCACTACAAACTGTCGCAGGTGAGAAAAAAGACATATGCATAATGAAACGGTGAAGGGTATGAAATTATCAACACAGATGAACTTGCAGTTTAGATCCCATCCCGAGTCTTAATAATCTGAATTACCCCATCACCCAAATCTATCTATTTAATTGCTTCCCATCCAGCCGGTACTGGCAGATCTGAAATTGGTCTTATTCATGTAAAACTACTCCCCATTTAGATGGCACATGTCTGCATAAAGTTCAAGCTATTCTCTGTTTTGTTTTCAGACTGGAGTCGTTAAACATGGCGTGGTCTGGTCTACAACGACATAGTGTGGTGTACCTGTCTCTCTGTTTGCCATCTAGTCTTCGAAAACTCAACCTCAGCGGCCTGCGGGAAAACATTACGGATGAAGGTATACATTCAGGAAGATATTCACACAAAATCATATATTGAAATAGTTAAACTGGAATTAAAGTATGGATGAAAGTGTTCAGTTAACAATTGAGCGCCATTTGATCCAGTCATGACTAGGGTGGTTAAAATCACACTATCTGCTCACAACTAGTCTGAGTGGGTTGTCCTGCTTTTGGGACCCCACCAGTCTGGTCTTACTATCCAGTAATAACTAATCTAGCCCTACTATCCAGTCACCACTAGAGGTCCTCTGCTAATGCTACGGATCACATTTTCAGCAATTTGAGAATTTTGATTACTAATTGCGAAAAAATGAAATTAGTGCTCTTTGTAAATTGTGCGAAAATATTATGAGTGAAAACATTTTGACAAATCAACAGAATCCAAGCCTCTGGTTTATAAACATCGTCATTTTAATGAAGATGCAATATGGCATAGCCACCTCGATGATCAGGTCACAGGTCAAAGATCTTGAGAACAGAAAACGACCCTTTGTCAGGCCTAGATTATTGAATTATCTTGTCAAAGTGTTTGGTAAATAAAAAAGTTGTTGATTTCCCAATGAAACGTGCAGTTATTATCAACACAAACATTTTTAAACATTCATGTGAAAAGGTCATATCACGATAAATTATCAGCTTTGAAAAGTTTTCAGTCCAAATTAATGAGGGTGTGCTCTCATAGGTGCGAATGATGTCTATTTTCTTTGGGGAACACTAAAAAAATACCTGAATGGAGAGGATCATGTCAGCTTTTAGACCAGAGTTGATGAACTTAAACTGATGTTTTATGATTGATCATGATAAAGTTAAATATGTAAGATAAATTTGAATTTTCTGGTTTATATATGTCTTCTAATTCCATCATCTCTTGATGAAGTTATTATATGGGTAAAAAACAAGGAAAGAACAGGATTTGTGGCGATGACAAAGTTTCTAAACACTGTTAATTAAAAAAATAAAGTAGAAAAATGTTAAATTTATCAAAGACTTTTATTCCTTGAATTTGCTAAAGCCAATTCTTTATTCGAAAAATATGGGGTTTTAGCAACTTCTGCTGAAGGAAATTTTGATCTAGAGTTTGCAGAGAGGTCCACCTCTACAGATAATACTAATCTAGTTGTCCTACTGTCCAGTCCTCTATCCAGCCCCTTCATTTGGGTTGTCCTGCTATATAAGGTATTAAGCTTAATTTTAGCTCATTGTCGTACTATCCAGCCTGACTAGTCTGGTTGTCTTGCTATCCAGCCACCTCTAGTTAAGTTGTTCCGCTATCCAGTAATAGTTTGTCGGGTTGTCTTGCTATCAAGCCCCACTATTCTGGTTGTTATGATTCAAGCCCCTGCTAGATATTAAAGTATCCAAATATAAAACCACACTTTGCAAAGGTTAATACTGTTGATTCAAAAGAAGCTGAAATGAAATGTTATGGCGAGAAACCACACCAACACACAGATCGTTTCAAACAAAAAGACAAACCAAATCCCTATTGTTGGAGTACTGTACTGTTGGCCTGAAAAAATAACAATTTATTTGGGGGGGAACACTATGTATAATATTCGTGGTATTTGTAAAGGATTCAGTTTTTCAGATTGTATTAACCTTGTTGATTTTTACAAAACAGTGGTTTTCTGAATCCAATGCAATACTGGATAAATTATTGCAACATTGAAAAAGGTGATGAGACCGCCCCTAACATCCATGTTAAGCATTAAACATTATCTATTTCCACTAGTCTGGTTGTCCCACTATCAAGCCCCTTCTAGTTTCGTTCTCCTGCTATATCAACCAACCAATAATCAAGTCCTGCTATCAGATAATCACTAATCTGGTTGTCACCTTGTCCAGCCTCTGTAGTCTGGTTGTCCTGCTACCCCCCGTGACTAATCTGGTTGTCCTGCTATCTGACCACCACCAATCTGGTTGTCCTGCTATCTGACCATGGCCACCACTAATCTGGTTTGTATTACCATCCAGCCCATCTAGTGAAGTTATCTTGCTATCTGGCCACCTATAGTTATTTGCATTTTTTCATTCCTAAAAAGCTTGCATATCTACGAAATTAAATTGTGTTGCTATTAAAAACATTAGCATAGTGGCATGCAGCAAAGTTAAATGAAGGAAATCCTGATATATTTGATCTGTTTTCTTGTACAGCTCCAAAGCCTTTGCAAGCATCAGTTAACAATTTCAACCAGTTCTGTAGTCTCGATTAGAATTCTCTGGCTGGTTTTGTCACCTGTAATGCCTTAATTTGAAGGCCCTTAGCCCCATATATGCTAAGGACTTCAGTCATCAGGTACAGGAGGCCTACAAACTCTCAGATCTACAAATAGTGATAACATTGTTTGAAACAATGGCAAAGCTGTTTTATCATTTACCCTTGGTTTAGCCTGTAATTGAAAATCAAAGTGATACTAAGTTATAAATGATGCATTGATATTGGGAGTGTTTCTGATGAAAAAGTTGTCTGCTTTAAACATTGCACTGTTTGTATGTGTTTATATGAAGAGCTTAGCCCAGATATATACAATTAACATCCTTAATATATCCATCAACACACAGTCATCACTCATATAAAATCTCTATCAGCCTTCCAACAACTCGGTCTTAAATGAGGAAAAACAATGACCCACCAGAAATGATGCACGAAAATTTAAGACAGTATTATCATAATAGAAATGTTTTGCATTAGCAGACTTGTGGCCTTTGAATAATGCATCAAGACCACTTAAATTGCAGTACAACCCAAATACATTGCAATACATTTCACCTGTTGGGTTCAGAGTTATTCTTCATTCTGTTTAAATGTTTGAAGAAGTTAGGGCCCCTATTACGCTCAACAGTTAAACGATGTTTGTACAATTCTTTCTTTGCAAATGTGTACATCAAAATATGTTAAATTAAAAAGAAAAAGTAAACTTGAGTGATTTGTATGTTAATTGCTGTAGAACAGAAGTGATGTTTTGCTTTATTAGATTTTAAGTATCCTGTGTAATGGATGTGAGGGTGGTGCATCAACACTCTTCCATCACAACTTACAAAATGGGTGTGTTTTTTAAACAACAATATATCAAGGGGAATATTATCATCACTCTAAATCACACATTTGCAGACTTGTATTGCTGTTTATAAAGGAATTATCTATTCAATTTATGTTCCATGAAGAATGATGGGATAGCCTACGTTGTACAAATGTGATCTATCAAAAAAAAGGTTTTTAGTACTAGTGTGGAGTGTTAGTCAATGGTATGTATATGAAGTTAAACCTTTTTCATTATCTATTTTCCCCCATAATTATTAGGGCACCACATCAGAGATGGGGATGCCCTGTATTGGTATTATTCACACTCCGTCTGTCTTTGTTTCCAGACATTATCATCTCTGAAATTTGACATTGCAATACACTGATACATGTAGGTAGATGCGCATTAATAGCGATTCAAAAAGTTGTCAAGTCAATGTTGCTAAAAATACACGGAGGTGGGGGGTCAAGCATTACCTGAAAAAAAAAAAAATGTTACTAGAAATTTGACATGGTGATACACTGATGAAGATGTGAAAAAGGGGTTTAAAAAGTTTCTAAGGTCAAGGTCAGTTTCTAAAAATAGACCATGGGGTGGGAGTGGTGTTATAGTCCTTTTCTTGGAATCCAAAAGACTAATCTTTCAGGAATTCGACTTGGTGATACACTGTAATATGTAGATGTTAAAAAGGGGTTTAAAAAGTATCTAAGCTCATTGTTACTGGAAAAAGACTGAAGGAAGGGGGATATGGTCAGCTGTCAGTCGGTGTTCTTATTCATTTCACGTTTTTGAAGGAAATTGTCTAAAGATTTGAAATGTATTTTTGGCAATTAAATGAATCAACATTAAAAGATCTCTCTTTCTGAGAGTTGTTTGAATTTAATATCTTATCAACATGTTATAGTTTATTGTATTGTATTACCACAGAGGTTCTTCAACTGGTGAAGACTTGTCCTGGCTTGAGAGAGCTTGACCTCAGTGACTGTACCATACTTACCTGCTCATCCATAGACCATATTGCCAACCATCTCAACAGACTGGAGTACCTAGCCCTGAGTCGTTGCTACAGAGTTCTGCCAAGTACCATTCCGTGAGTTCAGACAATTTGAATATCTTTTTGATATCACATCTTATGGCTGGTTTATTCAGCCTTCATGTGCCTATTATAGCATTCTGTTAAATACCGTTCATTGAAAAAATATATCTGAGCTCTTGTTTTGTGTCACTTATATTTCATACAATACCTCTGTTAACCCAGACTAATGAATAGAAATAAAACTTGCTTTCCATGTGCATGATAATGAACTTTTACGTAGGAATCAATTTTCTCTTTTGTAATGAGGATATTGGGGTCAATTGTCATTTTTTATGCAGATTAACAAGGTTTCCGAAGTGAATCCTAAAGTAAGATAACTGTGCAGTAATAACTGCTTTGAAGTTCCGGAGAAGATAAAGTGTAATTAGTCTATACATAAATACACAAGGATCAAATATCTTTGGACGAGGCAGTATTGAACTTAACATATTATCTTCAGGTTAAATATTAAGTCATATTGTCCATTGAGCCTGTTGGATTTGTTGTCAATTGGACCAGTGTTAAAACCATCCCATTGAAGGGGATGTCATAATTTTAAAAAACACATATATAGAACATAATTGCTTTCTTGTTTCTGACCAAAGCAGTAATACCAATTTTGTGAATGATATATTATTTTCATCACTTATGTGATGTGCATATGCATGCATACATCAAGAAGAAAGGTCACTGGCTTTATAGATGTCTTGTTCCTTACAAATTCAACAGAAAATTTCCAGCTCCTTTCAGTTGCTAATTAACTTACATTTAGATTTAGAGGGGTTATAGTAGGCTATACCTAAAAATATTAAAAGAAAAACTTTTTTTGATTGTAAATAAAGAATAAATATGTTATGATTATATGTATGAATCTACAAAAATAATTGAAAGGGGAAAGTCAGAAAACATTACATTTTTTCCCCTTGTTGTTTCCAGAAATCTGAATCAGCTTGATTCCATGTTGGCTGTGGATGTGTTTGGCATGCTGCGAGAGGGAGCACTGCAACAGCTGCGGGAGGCCATGTTCCGCATAGAGATTAACAAATTCCCGTTCTCCAGCATCGCACGACCTACGACTGGGATCCGTCGCACCAGTATATGGGGACTGCGCGTTAGGGACATTGTGATATAGGAAATATTGACAGAATGTTTCACCGTTAGTTTAACCTGCTTTGTATTTATTGGATTTAGCACAGTTAATTCTTATTATTAGTTAAAACAAATACTCGGACATTTTGTGTAAGTACTAATTTTGTGTCAAATTAAAATAATGTGCTAATTTTGGCTAACCTATATACTGTAATTTATGACAATTGATCAGGGTTTATGAGGCAGCTCATAGTAGTTTTAAGGAGGAGAACAAGTCCTCAAGTATGTCAGATGTATCTTAAAAGATATATAAACATTTTAAAATATATTCTAAATAAAAATAATTAACAATATAGAATGTTTTTCAGGGGTATGGAGGTATCGTATTTTGTAGCAGATTTTACTTTTTGGGAAAGAATGCCACATATTTGTATCTAAAAAATATAGTATTGAGTATCATTCAAAATTGATTGAATGCTTGACAGAATATGACTTTTTTTAACACAAAGTCTTGTATGATGGAATTAGATTAGAACACTCCATACAGGGAAATTCATGCTGTAGTTTAATTTTCGCCTTTTAAGCTCACAATAAAGAGACTGGATGAATATGATGAATGTTTGACTGGGTGAAATTCTCCAGTAAACAGCAGTAGTGAGACTGCCTAATGCTGAGAGAAGAATAATACAAATTGTAAAATATACAGATTACTGTATAGTGCTAGTATTTCACAAGTTTTACACTGTCTGTATTAACATCTAGAAACGTGGAACATTTAGACAATTTAAAAAAAAAAAAAAATGTTGCCTAGCAGAGACTTAATTAAACGATTAATTAGAGAATTAATGATGTTGAGCAAAGTTGAATTCAGCAAATATTTTCCAGTGACATTACTTTGGAAGTTTCTTTCTCATAAACATAGAGAGTCTTACTGCCCTGTGTTGTATCTCTGGTGAAGAAGAGTTCAAATTTGTCCCCATTTTTCTTAAATTGAGTTGCTAATTCCCCGGCCACTGTACAAGGAATACCATTCAGGGGAGTTATCACTCGAAATGTTTACTAGGGTTAGTTTTAAAACGTTCGAACTTACTTAAAAGGCCAGCAACCTTTGTCTTTGTATGAATATACAGAAAATCACAAAAACTTGACAAGGAATGAACATTTGAGAACCTGTATGAATTATAAAAGTGGTGGAACTCTTTACCTTAAAGCGTTTTACAGTATAAAGTTTGGTTGGAGAAAAGAATGTAATGATTGTTTAAATTTTAATAAAATGAATTGTTTTGGTTTAATTTCCAGGATTGATGGAAACATGAAATAAAGAAAGAAAAAATGTCTTATTTTTCTAGCTTAAATCATATCCTGATTATCTTAGAAAACGCAATAGATTAAAGTTTTGATTAAATATTTACCTTTGGGTATATATGGGATTTTTAAGCAAAGATTTGGGCCTCTTAAAACAGTAAAGGGCATTGTTTTTATACTATTTAATGCCTTATTATGTCTTTCAAAAGAAACATGTAAATGAACTGGTTGAAATTGTGTAACGTGGAAGGGAGATAAATCTTCCTGGTATATTGCACATTTCGTTTTAACCCAATGATGCTACATCTTTTTAATAATGTTTTTATATGGGATCTAAAATTATCTGTTTTAGCATATCTTTTAATGAAGTATCCATAAAGACAATGTAACCGGTAGCAGCCGTTAAACTTTGTCAACATCCTGATATCAATGTTAAATATTACTTATCTACAGCTCAGATAATTTTCTGTCAGACAAGTTATTTTGTTTTCATTCAGCTGTTTTATGTTTTCCAAATACATTACTGAACAAATGGCTTTACAAAAAGACTCATCTGATTAATTATTTTGCTGATTTTTCTGATTATTTAGAGTACCATCTTTTCAAATCTGTGCAATGTAGCAAGTAACCTTTTTAGTTTCAAAAACATACCATAAGGTTAAATAAACCATATATATTAAATGATATGTTGTAAATTTTGTAGGGCCAAGTGAATTTTGCATATTAAAGTTCTATGCAAATTATGTGGGGTTTTTAAGTTAAAAAAATGATTTTAATTAAAACATTTTAGTTTTGGCTCTCTGTAGCTTTTTATGGTTCTGAGGTAATATCAACTTGTCACATCAAGTCATTGTGGCCGACAACTTTTATGACAAGTACAAAGGTTTTTCCACATCGATGACATCTTCACCCTTGTCAGATTCTATTTTAACGTTTTAAATTATTTTTAGAAAATTTTAACCCTTTTATAGCCAGATTTTTTATGTGGCAAGACTTTGAATAGGTCATGCCAACTGACATTGATTTTGCCCAAGCCCATGGAAATTAATTGGTTCCATATGATGACTGTTGTATCCTTTTTTGTGTGGCTTAAACTTTGCTTACCGTATTTGATATATTAAGTACTCCTGATCCTATATGCTCCCTTCCCATTGTACAAAAAAAACTGCAAGTAAATAAACATGTCAAATTGCAAGAAATTCCCTTTTTATATAACTTTATAGAGCATCTTTTCAGGTATCCACCTGGGTTAATTTACTAGGAATAGTAGGAAAAGCTCTATGATCTTTACAATTCTGAAATTTTCCAAATTTAGACCATGCTTTAAATTCTATCAGGAAAATAACTTGTTGCTAACTTATTTTTAGAAGCAACTAGTTTTTATTGGTATGGTTACATCTTTGGGTGAAGATGTGTTGCCTACTAAAACCAGGTTTAAATTTGCCTTTGTATTCCACTTCACTGAACATTGAACGAAGTTCAGAATCATCAATTTCATGTGTTGTTAAATCTGGGGTAAAGGTGTGTTGAGCACTTTAACTAGGTCATGGTGACCTGTATTTTCTGCACAATTCAGGAAATTTCACTTTGAACATTTCCTACACAGTTCAACACAAACCATAAGTACGTCGTCATCACTTGATATTTGCCCACCTATTATTCAAAGGCTATTAAAATACTGGCCAGGGTGCTTCATACATAAAATACGGTAAACATGAAAAGTTGCTAATAAAGTATTCAGATTTAATCATAATATGTAGATGTTGTGGTAATACAAGTACTTTTGATGTTTTATAATCCAGGTGTTGTATTGTTTTATCCTCTTGTTTAATTATACTTCATCAGCATTGTGAAAGCTCTGATAAAAAATGTACTGCATTTTAAAAGGTTTTAATTGAAAAAAGGCCTTAGTTTTGAGATAAATGTGTATAGACTGCCGAAATGATTCTTTTTGACATAAAAGCCAGGTTTGTTTTGTGTCCTATCTTTTTTCTTTAATAATTACCTCATTTTGTATTTTAGATAATAGAATATTCAATATTTTTTATCCTGAGAAATTTACTGATAAAATATTTTAATAATTTTAAATATTACTGTGAAACTTAAAATATGAATACTTTTATTTTACCAGTGATACAAATACTTTTTTAGACCTCTGAATTTGCCTTCTGGAAAGGTTATGGCTCGTACAGATCTCCATACCAGCAAACTAATTATTATTACCTCGCCAAAGCTTCTTTGAATACCTCACACACAGAGTTTTAGATATTTTTATTATTGTCATTTGGAAAAAAATAGTTTTATTTTTATTTTCTAATTGCTTCATTTGCAGCTAATTTGTATGTGTAGTTTGAATAAGCAAGTATTACCTGCTGTTTTATGATTGGTAAGGTGTCAGAGATATCCTGTAAAACACATTATGATGCACAGGATATTTATTATCAACAACTGCATTCGTAGAAACATAATGGATAATGCAATATATAATTATCATGATTACATAGTCCTGTAAACCTGAACATGCGATTGATTGTCAAGCGAAGTTATGGTTTTGAAAGTTATTGTTAATGAATTGTACATATTTTTTATATTCATGTTGTAGGTTAGTGTTCTTTTAAAGCTAGGATTGTTGACAGAGCACAAACTTAGTACTTAAGTGCATGGTTCTTCTGCTTTATACATTTGCCAGGACCAGGCGAAGTGTAGAGCAGAAATTTATCTCGCACAAAAGAAGGAGTTGTTAATTATTTAATATAATAAACGTTTCTAATTTATATGATCAAAAAAATAAGAATTATTACATCAGTTTGTACTGTTTCCTTATGTTTATAATTATATCGCTGTTAGATAATATTGAAACTGTTTGACAGGCTATTAATTACAAAAAACATGGATGTAATTTTGAAGTTGAGAGACATTTAAATTGTCTATGACATGTAAAAAGTTGATAATAATAATCTATAGGAAGTAAATGATTGTGAGACAGAGAAGTTGTTGTGTAGGGACCGTTACACCTTGTGTCGTTTCTTGTTGCGATGATAAGTGTATACAATATGTATGTTTTTTATGGTTGTTAATACAACTGCCTTATATAGGGCTTTGAAACCAGTCTGATCAGTACAAGTATATATATATGAATCGGAGAGTGTTTGTTTCAAGTATACATGTAATATAAATATATACCTTTGTGCAGAGTGTTAAATATAACAATACTGATCATATCCCAGTAGTCATTAGTTGATATCAATGTATTGCAATTTGAAGTATTTACAACAACTTGGTGAGCATTCCATGTCTTCAAATTGTACACTAAAGCTCAATATGTGGTGCATAGGGGCACAATGTGTGATCTGTATTTATGATTGGTTAGAGTAAGTGGACAGGGATAGTCCTACAGTAATAGTATATACAAATGTACAGTAGCTGTATTATCACTATATTCGTTATAATTAATAACTATTGAGTGTCTGCAGGTCCCTAATGAATGTTACATAGATCTTTGTTGTATTGTAAAAGTAGGTTATTTTTAATTCATGTTCGATTTAACAATAGCATTTTTATGTTTTCATCCCTTTTCTCGCTCATCCGCTTGTTTTTTCACAAATTGGTCATCACTGAAAAATTTGAATTTTGACGCCTGTTACAATATTTAGCCTTTAATGAATATCTGGTGGTGTTTGGTATACCTGTGTTAGCTAGAGTAGCGTTGGAGATTGTTGGTGCCTCGAAGCACAGCAGCTGTATAGTGATGGAGAGTGATACATGGATGAATATTTAACTGTATAAGAGGTGTTTGCATGTTACTTTGTAGTAAGACGAGATGTATTTCATAATGTTTTTATACTGATCTTTTTATAATTTTCAGTTTGGAAAGTAGATATTTGTGCATATTTTCTAAAATTTAAAACCATATTATCATTTAAAGACTTGCTCTCAACTGTTCCCAATTAATTTTTGTGACTATGAAGTTATGCAAATGGTGTCCTTACCCAAATCTTTCAATGATAATTTACAAAGTGCTCATATTGAAGATGCCATGGATTTTTAATTTGAAAACGAACTTAACTTGATTTCACAAAAAAAAAAATCAAATTCTTATAAATATTATTTACGAAGAAATGATAATGATTACTTTCGATATTCATTCAAAATTAAAAGTGATTTTTAGTGGATTTTCCGTGTTTTGAAATGTTCAAAAGATTTCCAGAAAATATTTGTTTTAATAGAATATTGCAGTAATTATGCATAAACAAATTGAAAATATTTGATATGGAAGAAGGCTTAGGTTGTTTCAGTACATACATATGAATGTATGCATGCTTTGTTGGATGTCTTGCATTGTGATGCCGTTATATAGTGAGGGGCTCAGGATGTCAAAGACAAATAAAAGTTAAAAATTTACCCCGTCTTTGTATTATCATTTCATTTTGTTTTTATCTTAGCTTGAAGTGTCAAGTGTGCTATGCCGGTTGCTGTACATGTCTTCTTTTTTCAATTCTTATTTGTTGATGCATGACAAATATTTCTTCATATATATGAGCAAGTCGGATCGGAGACATTAATTAATGAATTTGCATGTCAATCATCAGGCGATCTCATTGACAATTGGTACGATTTAACATCCTATTGGTGTGTTGTAAGCTTTACAAGAGCAATGGACATTCTATGCTTGGATATAAGCCTCAACATGCAATCAATTCATAAATAAGGTATGCTACCTTCTGATTAATCCAAATAAATCTATAAAATAACAACGTGACATTAAACACATTAGTGAAAGTATTTTTTTTATTCTGGCAATTGTCATATCATTGGTGGTATTTATGCCGAGTTGAGAACTCGATGGGAAACATGTATAACACTTTAATAGTGAAATAATCTGTAACTTTTTTTAAGATGACCGAGATATTGAGAGAAAACTAATGAAGGCGACCTAATCGCACCATGTACTCGAAGAAACTGACAAATTTTCCAAAAAGATATAAAAAGCATGGATGGCGAGGTTCCAAAGCCAAAGGAACAAATATACACCTATACAAGCACTGATAGGCTGTGAGGTCATAAAACGTTTAACAGCGTTTTCATGTTAGAGTTAACATAATTAAAACTCGCGGAACTCGTATTCAACAAAGGAAAAAGACTGAAGAAAGGGGTGAGGGGCAGCATTTGTTTCCGGGGACACGAGTATCATTGATGTATCGGCACCGAGTGTGCATTCACTATAATCATCACTTTCTTTGGTGCATAATTTAGCGGGTTTATCTTGTTAATTTTTATAGTTCACATTTTCAAATCAGGACCAATCCGTCTATGAAAGAACAAAGTTCTAAAAAAAGGTATTCTGGATTTTGATATTGTGATATTTACCCCTACACGGTTAAGATATATCATGAGGTCTCACTGGGACATGTGTTATTTCCTCGTGTATTATGAGGGTCGATGTTTTTGATTATGCTAATAAGCATGCCTTGTTATTTCATTGTCTTTATCCCGGTTCCCGCTATGAGGACGTGACATCTATTAATTTGACCTAGATTTGCACGACGGTTACGTCATTGAAGCAGAAGACGCTTACTCTTCCGGAACACGTTGGTAGCATTAAGCTTATTGATGCTTCAGTTTTATTATTGGTCAAAGCCGAGTTTCAACTGAAGAGTGTGTCTTGATGATCATTACATCGAGAGAGAGAAAAACACCAACACAACTTCGATAAACTTAGGGCAAAATATCTACCACGGAAAGATCTAACTGGAGGCCATTGAGTCCCTGAAAGTTCAAGTAGAATAAGACCAAAAATTTCAGAATGATAATTGTCTTTTACTTTATCGATGACACCTTTGCTTAATCAATGTAGTGCAGTGTCCCATACAGAGAACTGGGGTACTGACAACAACTAAAAACAAGGCACACTTACGAGCACAATGAAAAAAATATAGAACTTCATATCACATAGAGAAATAATCCTTTTCCCTAAGAGATCATTGATGACAACGGGAAGTTAAAAGCAGAGACTTCATTCTTCGTTGTAGTAAGTAACATTACGGTGATCTTGGCTTGATTTATAACTATGACATTTCAGTGTATATCAGTAGTCATCATAACGGTTGCAACATGTGGTGCGGAATACGCTTTCACTTCCGAAACACCTTATCTGCGCTATATTTCATGATGTCTTTCTTTTACATTTTGATCTCTTCATTTCCTGTTGTAATTATTTCCTATTAACTTTGAGTTTTAATGTCGTTCTTGTGTACTGATATTGTGGGTTTCTTGCACTGTTTAACTTCGACAATGACAATGCATGATACACTGTTGGTAGATATCGATACATGGTACTTCATTGCTTACGTCATTTTGGCGTTGTATTTGTTAATTGTTTACTATTAACAGTTGCTGACCAATCCGTGTCCTAAGGGTATAACCGCACAGATGTTAAAACGGTTATTTTAGCCTTTACCTGTGATTCTGACGTCACTTAAGGTTTTTACTCAGTGCTTGACGTCACTTTCTTTATGCGCAGCACACACATCAGACCTACTGTAATATATCCGACTTCCATTTTGTCTTCTCGATTTCCGTTACAGACTAATCAGTTTAAATAACACAATAAAGATAATTTTAGACACATTTTGGTCTTAATAGATGAAAAAACATTCGGATCAAATTCATACCCAGTTGATAGAAAAGAACAAAAGTACCACATCGTCTGTATGAGAAGGCATCAAGACAAAATAGGGGAAAACCAGTACTCCTTTGGGGATACCGTATATTACACCATATGTGATACCATCTTTGTCAAATCCAGTAAAGTCTGTATAGGTCACGTACTACCGAAGATTTACTGAACATGTTTTTCTTCATTATAGATACTGGAACCAGGCTATGACGACGATTGAAAGTGATATTGCCTTGGACCATTTTTCGATTAATTGCAAACAACTTGAACATATCTATTGCTTTTTGGCGCTGCTTACTTGGTTGCAAGCTTTTTGGAATACTTCTGATTTTCGTCATGTTTTCGTCGTGAGAAATTATTTACAATGTCGTTTTAGATGGACGGATGATCAATGTATGCAAACTGATGTTGTTCCCATCAATTTATATAAATGTTTAACTTTCAGCAATATAAGGACAATACAAGAAATGACAATGGAACTCTTAACTGCGTAATTTAACTGTGATACTCTTGATTGAATGAATGCCCAAACTGGAGATATTTTCTTTGGTTCTTCTGGTCCATGTGTGATGTCTCCTGGTTAGTTAATATAATTTGCACAAATTTGTTGTAGAGGAAATTATATTTTTGATCTGATCGCGTTAGTTCTACAGCACTTAATTATACCAACTGCAACATGTAAACACCGTAGGAAAGGAATTAGGGATGTACTTTGAAGAAAGGGAAAGTTCATGATAGGAAAATCTACAGCTATGTAATAATTATGACGCTGAGTCTGTGGCATTCATGTTCATCTGTGTTTACTTCTAACCTCTAGATTATTTTTAAAATTATTGAACTTAAATGTTTACCAGTTAAAACGTAAAACAAAACTGGACATTTCTGTATAGTTTCTCACTGAATTCCACTTCCTTGGTCCGATTGTGTCATTCTATGTTCTTTTACTAATGAAAAGATACAGGTCATTTCCATGTACGCCAACATAATGAATGTCATTTTATCAAAATTAAATTTTACTAGTTTGTTCGTGATACATATGCCGAAGTTCGAAGTTGCTTCACTGTACAATGACATAGTATCTCGAACTTATTCCGGCATGGTTAACTTGAAACCCTAGTTAATAGGTAATATTTTTGTTGTAGCTAAAGTTGTAACTTTGTAATGCCGTAAAGGATTTTTATGCTGCTCTCACCTTTTGCTGAAATACGTACACTATTTGTTGTAGCTAAATTTGTAGATTTGTAACGTAATACAGGGTTTTTGTCTACATATGTTTTAGACAGAAAAAGAGGTCAAAGTTTATCACATATAGTTCATGGAATACCATTGGAAGTCCTTAGTGTTTTGAAACTTCATTAATAGCATTGGCCATGGTTGGGATTCAACTGTGTCCAACTGACATGTGTCCTGCTGATAAACATGGGTTAATAACTGGGAGCCACAGACTAGCAACTCAGGGTTTCAAGAGATGCCAGTTGGTGAAGACTAAGGGCATGTTTTATGATTGCCATCATGATTCCCTTGGGAAGAATCTATTTCTTTGTGTGATATGAAATCGAAGGGTTTCCTTGTGTTCAGTGTTCGTTGTTGTCTCTACACCATTCTTCAAACTGATGACGTGTCTTATCATATTTTGGTCCAGAATTACACTGTAGGCGTTGTCGATGAAGTAGAAGACTCTTACCCTCCAGGAACGCATGGTATCATTCTCCTTGTACTTTTAAGCGTCTACGTGTAAATCTTTCCTTTGTTTATTTTTCCTATCTTCCGTGATTTTTAGTTCGAATAATATGTCTATTAACACTCCGGTTTTCTCTCGTTGTGATTTCATGGTATATCATGATTAACGAATTATTAACTGTGTAGTTGGTGACTGAAACTGTTAGTTAACCAGGAGACGTATTAACGAGTGCCACATGTGGTGTAGGAAACCTTACCAGAACACGTGGTTCTGTTTCCGGTTAATGATATCTTCCACTTTGTTTAAATATCACCTCTGTTCCTGTTGTGGTCGGTTCGTACGGAAGTCTGATGTTGTCTTTGTCTGCTGATGATGTGGTATATTTTTTTTATATATTTGTTATTCAGTTTATAATTATGTAGAAAAACTTCAGAATTTTAGTATTTCAGTTTAAACCAGATTGTATGTTACTTTGGACTTGTTTTAGTGTTCATTGTTTACATGTACTAGTTGACCAATCTGTGTCCTAGGGGAATAACCGCACATATGTTAAAGCGGTCAGTTTAGCCTTTACCTGTGATACTGACGTCACTATAGGGTTTTACTCTGAGCTTGACGTCACATTCTTAATGCGCATCACAGACAGGAGACAACTGTGATACATCCGACTTCCGTATTGACGTCTGGTGTCAACAACAGTAAAAATAACATTAGAATGATAGTATTAGATACTTGATGATGTTAACGGAAAATTGAAACTAAAAAAGGACCGAAAGTCATATCCAGTAAACAGACGGTAGAAATAGAAATACAAACTGTACCGTATCGTCCTTATGAGGAGATATTTAAACAAAAAAAGGAAGACTGTGAAACTCCGAAAAATAAATAAATAAAAACATAAGTGGAACTCGGGCTCCAGTAGGGTTATCGTCTTCGGCACCACATGTGCATCCATGATGCTGCTTCCTGTCAGTAACATGATAGTATAAGTAACTAACGATCCAAGACATAGAATACAAGTCAGTTCATGCTGACGATTGAAAGTGTTATTTCTTTTCACAGTCATTCGATTGTTGTACAAGCAGCCGTGGGCTTATAAATGGTTTTGAACATGCTGATTGTTGGATTATTCATGAATACTAAAGTTGTCTCTGTTTGAATTTTTACCTGCCTTTTTGTACCGGATATACGTTATCGTCGGTTTCAACAATAATTCATTACATGTCAAAGGAGGTATAACAGTGTTTCAATACATGTCGTGAAGTTTAATTTGATTACCTACGACGTTTTGTTAGTGTCTTAAATAGATTTTTTCTCCACCATTTAAAAAACGCTAGCTGATACTAGTGTCACCGGAGTTTATTTGGTTTACACAAAATATGCATAACATCAGTTATCATTTTTCTGTTTTTTATGTGTATCATTGACTCATGAGATGTTTTTTGAATGCTCCTTTATTTGTTCGATGATGTTTTTTTTCTTTCTGTTGATTGTAGATGAAAAGTTAACTGAAGATCCTGTTGCGGCTAATTGGAATTGTTACAGGTAACATAATGAGTTGTATATATAAATTATGTCTGTTTAGTTATATACCTGACAAATACCATATAGGGCCCCGTATTCATAAAACCGTCCTCATACTCAAACTCAAATGGGTTATTTCTGTTCTACAGAATTTATACATGAGAACGGTTTCATGGATAAAGATCCTGGTGATCATCCCCGGAGTTTTATAGAGATTTGTTTAAACAAATTTTATTGCAAAAAAACCCAAAAAATTGATGTGGGGTAAATTAAGAAATATTGAAGTCGAACAGACAAATACAATGTTTAACCATTACTACTCTTACCTTGATAATTAACTATGCTACTATTGGTTGAATGCCTGTCGAAACCTTATCAATGTTGTACTTTCCAATGTGCCTGGTTTCATCTGGAGATATTTGTGTTAACCTTCCCTCCCCCTTTATGATTTTATCCCCTTATATACTCTTAAACGTACTTAGTTTTCGGCCACCTTTTCGATTCCACTAAATTATGATAAGCACTAGATATGCTATCGCTATATTGTTTTTACGAAAGTAATAGCTATAATAATTAATCATGATGCGTAGCATCACTTGAAATTTATTGTCAAAGCGAGAAAACATGAGTGCACTAACGCCGTACATTTACATCAGTGAGAATAAGATTTGTTTTTACTGTGCATTGCCAAAGTTTTATCCCCCCTTCTTGATTTCAATGATTTGTAAATCGGTTTAAAACCACTTTTCCTTTTCAGTATCCAGAAATATTACTCAAATGTATGATGAAAATAAACTTATATGAGAAAGTCAGCACACGAAAATATTGTACGACTGCTACTACATAATAACTGTAGTAAACGAAGTTTGTTATATGCTCCTTAAAACAGTTTTCACCAGCAGTTAACAAATATATTTCACTTGCGATGAAATGTATTATTGTTAGCGAAATTCTAAAGTATCACTGAAGTGGTATTATAACGAAATATCACACCATTCAAATAATATAAGGTCTTACTACAGTCTCAAATTAACACTGCCGAAATTAGTACACACGTATAATTCTCTATGGTTTTCATCCCTCAACATAGTGGTACGATGTGAGATTAAAGGCGGTAATGAACGGTAACACGGAAAAATTGTAAATGCAAATGTAATAATTTGTGTTTATTTCGCTTTCTTTAGTTTTAGCAATATCGATGTTTGTAAAAAGATGGCTATTTACTGTAAGTGCGGACTAAGTAGGATGTTAGCTTAAAGTTACAAATAGGTTTCCCAAGTCCCTTTCTGCCTAGAGCTAACATCTATTTATAGCTACAGACAAACTTTCTTTAAGTCTCTTCCGTTTATAGCTGCCATCTTTTTATACCTACAGTCAAAACAAACCTTTAGCTTCCTGAGCTTCGTTCTGTCGAAACAAACCTTCCTGACCTACCTCTGCATATTACTACGTACTACCTATCTTTAACCACAGATACAATATTCTAGACTTCTTTCTGTCCAATTTAACCTTCATAACTACCCTCTGTCCTTAACAGCCTTTAATTACCTTCTGTCATTAGCTACCTTTTATTAATAAATACCTGTTTAAACGCTGTCGAATCTTTGTCTAGTCTTTGTAATAAAGTACTGTTTAGGATTACAATATACCGTACGTCAGGATTTCACAGTACCTACAGCTAGACGACTAAACACAATATATTTCTTGTGACTGGTGTTATAGAGGATTGTATATGCATATATACAAAATATATAACTATCACTCTCCCCATTTTCCTCGCATAAAACACAGAAATAATGACATTTTCATACAGAGTGGTTTTAATGTATGTTTTAATAAATTACACACAATAAGACAGGTATACATTAATAGCCAGCAGGCACAATACACTGCATATTCATCAACGTACTGTACATATAATGCTAGGTCTATTTCGTGATCAAGCCTGATTTATAGTCTCGGGCCATCTGTCCGATATTTGCATATTTGATGACTCTGGGCTATTTGTATTAAATTATAATTATGATCAATTGGTTTACCTACAGTAATACATTATCGTTTCGTTAATTGATGTAAATATATTTCAATATCCAGATCAGTTTCTTTATTTGATGTCATTGATTAGTATAGGCTACATCAACTTAAAGTAAATTTCGAGATGTATAACGAGTTAATTGTCAAAATATAACATTATAATTTTTACTAACGTTATTACTGTAAGGTTAATAGTATAACCCGAAGAAATGACACAATAAAAACGTGAAAAGTGAAACGTCTTTTTTATCAATTTCGACTACCCATAACTTCTTACATAATTCACGTGCATTAATTTCTTACATAATTCACGTGCATTTTGCTAATTCTTACGTGTTTCCATATTTATAGCAAACATATAGCTTTTTATGATATAATTAATCGTCTAAGAATATAAGCAAAATAAAACATATCCAAATTAGACGATTTCTTTATGATAACATGATTTTTGAAAAAGCTATTAATAGACTAGTATTCAGCTTTACGGTTTATTCTTAGATGCGACTTTCTAGGCCTTTACACGTAACAAGCTAATAAGAACATGTCAATAAATAGGTTTTGTTATAACTTAATATGTAAATACTTGGACGCATGAGCGTTGTTTGCGGTAAGAATATCTAAGAACAACTAAATATATCTGATGGGTCAGTAACTCACACGTTACCTCTGCTACACATAAATACGATATTAGTCATTGTTATAACTATACATTACTATAGACACGCCAGGTAAAATATTTACATTAACTGTCGTACGTGTCAGATTGTAAAACTCATTACCCAACGCCATTGACAATTGTAATCATGGTAACACACATTATACCATATACTTCATTTCCTAGATATCTAGAAACAGATTTTAATGCATATGGTAACTGAAATCAATTTCTTGAAAGTTTGATGTCTTTTTTTTGAAGTTTGTGAGTTAATTTAGAGAAATCATCAGTATACTGTAATCAAGATATTTACTTATGGATTTTAGTATAAAATTCAAGTATTTACCTTCTAAACATATAATCAGCAAACTTCTGTTCTATGGTAAAAAGCAAATACTTTTAACATACAAAGAAACATACATGGTTATATTTGTAGATGTACAAACAGCCATAACCTGTTTGGTCATCGCTCATATGAGACTACAGTAACGTTCAAAATTTGAACTTCTCTTATAATATGGTTACGAAACGTAGGTCTTTATAACACATTATTATGCATTTAAAATATCATGATATGGATTTCCGTATAAAAGCACCAAATGGGCAACGTGAAACATTCCTTATATTTCTAAATCAACGAAATATTGCATCACAACGTGAAACTCTTGCCCGGTGCTTTGTTTTATGGATTTCAAAAGATGTCACTCGGAAACGTTTATAACGAGTATTTGTCCGTCATACACAGGTATATCTGACGTACTGTATCCAAACTGAGACATACACAAAACACCACCTTTATTGTTATTATTGCATCAAAGCTACTCCATCATGTAAACATCAAGTCCCGCGCACACTCTTACCTTGTCTTTATTTGGCACATACTCCGGACAACTCTCTGTTTCACACACATCATTACCACAGTCCTATACATACGTTGGATTTGAATGTTTCTTTCACACTCTCTTATTATCCGGTAAGACATTCCGAGCCGTTCCTCCTAGATTTGTAAAAAAATTGTGCATTTTCTTCATGTCTTTAAGAATAGATTGATGAATCATGTTTTGAGTTTCCACGACTGGTTTGGCGGTCGTGGTAGTTTTCTGTTTTGGAGATGGGTTTGTGACTGTCTCAGACAATGATACGTCCTCCTCTTGGCTGGTTTGCTTGGGTTTCCTATGAAACACTTCTGATATAAACGGTTTCCTTTTCCTAGCTGAAAGCTTTGAAGGAAATAGAACGACCTCTTCTCGAGAAGATGCCTTTGCCGCCTTAGGTTGTTCCAACTTAACGTTTTTAACTAACGGACGTCTTGTAGACTGCACGACACGCGTAGAGGTTGGTTCTACCGTTGAGGCTGTTGTCTGTGTTATTGTTGATGGCGACTCTGACGAAATTTGGGATGCTGCCTTGTCAGAATATGATTTGGTTTTGTTGATAGTTATGTCTGATGGTGTGGATGCTGTTGTATCAGACGCAGTTGTGCTAGGAATATTAGTAGTTGATGCATCGGTTGTCGGCTTCAATGATGACGAAATCTGTGCCGGTTGTACGATTCGCCCTGCAGTCACTACAGGGACTTGTTTCGTCGACTTCCCACTATCAGAAACATGTTGTGTGGTGTCTTGAACTTCTGTTGTTGATCCAATAATAGTTGTTGTCTCAGTCAAAGGTTTTGATGTTGTAGTTACGACGGGAATGTCCGTAGCAACGGTCGCAGATTTCGTATCGTCCAACTGTTGTGGAACAGTTGTTGTTCTATGTATCTTCTCAGTGAAATTGTCTTTCGAACGAATTGTAGATGTTGTGGAAGGAACCAGTTCAGCACTGGTCACGAACTCTGTAGGAGTGGATGAACCATTAACTTGATACTCGATGGTTGTAGAAGTTACGGGAACAACATCAGTTGGCATAGTTGAAGTAGTTTGCGGTATGGTCGCACCAGATGTGGACGTGGTGGGATGTTTTGTTGTAGTCTTGTAAGACTCCGTAGAAGTAGATAAGACCGTTGTTGTATCAGTTGTTGGCCTTTTTGTTGTTTCACTCGTTGTAGCTGAGGTATCTGTTTTGATTGTTGTACTCAAAACCGTTTTTGGTACGTCAGTGGTTGTTTCACGGGAGTCCGAAGTGATTGCTGTTGTTGTTGTTGTTGTTGTTGTTGTTGTAGAGGGAGTTGTAACTGCTTCAGATGCTTCATTTGAAGTTGACGCTGGAGTTGAAGTAATTGGTTGAGCAGTACCAGTTGCTATGGCTGTAGTTGTAGTAGACGTTGGTGTAACAGTATCGGTAACTGTTACAGTCGATGGTGCAACAGTTGTTGTACTCGTAGTAGTTACGGTCGTTGGTGCAACAGTTGTTGTACTCGTAGTAGTTGTAGTCGATGCTTTAGTTGTCAACTTTGGAATATGCACTGTATCTCTCTCGTCACAAAGATATCCTCGCCATCCTGGCTCACAACGACACATCCATTGGCACGAATAGAGAGAAACTAAATCCGTGCACAGCCCGTGCTTGCACAATGGTTTAAATATCTTACAACCATTTCTGATGCACGGGTTAACATCATTTGCCCCCACATTCTTTGTCGGCGGCGGCAGGGGCTTTGCTTTATCTTCTGCATTGAGTTTTCTCAACAATTTCGGTGGCCACAGAGAATTAGCTTGTGCTCCATTACAGTTCAAGAAAATCACATAAAAGAGCAATCCGTACTTTATACACATGCTTGTGTCGGAATTAAAGAAATAACGTCCGTACATAGTCAATTGAATAAATAAGTTTGTATATTATAGTTGCTATATTATAGCGGGAAGTCTAGTCTGGTAGCTCCAAAAAATCGGTCGTCCAGCTCAGTGTGTATTAATATGAAACGTATTTGTGTTTTCCTACCTATATACATATAACGTAAGTCCACGGAGGCCTTTCCAGCGTCTGCGTTCCACGTACTTGTGACGCACACACGATACTTATAGTGTCAATATGTTGATAACTGTCACATATTTTACAAAAGAGATAAAACGAGACCACTGTTTCGCTCTCTCGGTTCGATTATCAGAGGGAATCCTCGTGACACTGATGCGTTAAATAAACAAGAACCGGTGGTGGATAATTCCGCTCTAGACGTGTAACAGTAGTGTACAGCTCTTCCGGCAGTCGGTGAATGTATGAGACAATGTGATAAGTAGCTGGCGTCTTATACTACCTGGCAGAGACGGATGTCATTAATACGCCTCCGGCTTTATTACAAATATTATAACTTCATTTGCAAAGCAAATGCTTCATTTTATATATGTATATATGTCTGTTCCCAGCAGAGTAATTTGTTAAAACATAAATTTGACAAAAATCCCCAAACTGAATTTTGCTACAATTCTCGACAGCATCTTCTTTCATGTTCTTAAATTATTTTCTATAATTGCATTAAAATTCAGCTAATGCCACGTTTTGTCCTCACCTGTTGTTGTTTTACCTGTTGTCGTCACACGTGGTTACGTTATGTTAAGGAAGACATATCGATTTGCACGCTTAACAGAACCTTTCGTATTTTGTAGAAAAATAATGATAGCGCAGAAAACGGTGGCTGCCGCTAGCTACGCAGGGAAGGTAATTGATGATAGTGTGAGTTTTCTTCACTGGTAAAGCTAGGTTGCCCCTTTAAACCTTTCAATGGAAGCAGAAAAAATGCTCCGTGAAAACAGTTCTTCCATCCTTTAAGATCAATTCTTGTAAACAGTATTCGCTATGATGCAATAACTTAAAGTAAACTCACGTAAACATTTACTACGAAGATGTACGACAAAGATTGGTGATATTCGTGTATGTTTGCCGATTATTCAGGTGTAAAAAAAAAACAAAAAAACAAATGCAACACATTATATGCACCTGCGGTGATTGCTTTTTTTCATTAGTTGAAGAAAAAGAGTAATTTTTATGTTGGATTTTTAAGGATTAGTTGATTATATAAGTTTAGTTATTGTGTTATGCTATCATGTATATTTGAAGTCAAAGTTAAACCCTTTAAAGTTGAAGACTGATAGATCGTTGATATCGATTAAGCACTATTAAAGTAATTCATATAAGCCAACAATTGCTATTAGGTAAGAGCCCGGACCTTCCAGCAGACATGTGTTCACACGCCATCAAACATAGTCTGGTTTCCGGCCATGTCTCACCACCTCGCACAGAACATTATAGAACATTACTACGCGGGCTGTATAGGAGGGCAGAAAGCGGGTTACGCGTAACGTCGTTTGACGCTCAATAACCAACTCATTCAACAAAGACTGATACATAATTATAGGAGGAACAATTGTTGTTTGAGTGAACATGTAGAAGCTACAATTGCAAAACAGAGAATCACTAGAAATGCGAAATAAATAAGCACATATTCAAACAAGTCGAGGCAGTAAGCCAAACAAATTAAATGTGTGACCAAAGTTTGTCCATATTCGGCTCATCAGTAGAACTTTTGTCCAAAAGAATAGAATATATGTCGAAAGTGTTCATAAACATTTGGAAGGGGTTATAAAACCTTTTTCAAAGGTTGTATTATATTCCAATATTGGCCTACACAGAATATTAATTCATTAACTAGTATTTTATATCATCTGTGACAAAATATATTTAAGCCATAAAGTTCGGACCAAAACAAAGAAAATGAATAACAAGATGTCGTTCGAAGTGCAAAATCAGTCGATACAATTAAATTAATCATAGGAGTCTTTAAAGACTCATTTTGAATTTCTGACGACAAGATAAATTTCTTTATTTACCTTTAGCATCGAAGCATATGAAATGCTATTTTAAAAACTGTTTTTCCTCTCATTCATACAAAGACGATTTTTGCCAGGTGTACCGGAAGGGAGTTGCTGAATGCTATGGTAATAACCCTTAATATAATCATTTCTGAGGCGATTTGAATTTGACCTATTCGTACCTTTCATTGCTGTTCTTCGAGTAATATAATTTACTATAGGACGAAATACGATAGATACATTTCTATAGGAATAAAGGCATAACCTACAACAGTGATACCTCTTTATTCTAATTACACTGCAATGTACAGACATTGTAGCTGTTGTGGCGTGGACACGAGTAACCCTTTGTCAAAAATAATAGGATGGTTCGTCACCGGTCGTAAATTACATATAAAACATAACTTAATTACAACAAATTTACTTTTCCGGTTTCCAGTAGTAGGATGTCGTATCAGCTTTTCCCACTTACATAAGAGCGCATATAATATATAGAAATTGATATTGCTCCATTTAAAAAACATACTATGCTATAATTACTTTATCTTCTTCGTTGCTGCAATTTTACTATATTCTACATAAATCATTGAGCAAAATGTCAAAGAACATGTTAGTACATTTAATACTTACACTTAATTTGCAAAAAGTTACTAGACACTTCAAAGTCTATTACTAGTAAGTTTCAGTAGACTGTAGGCACTCCATTGAGAACAACTTGTCGCACTCCTCTGACCTATTTGTTTTCATTTTCATATGAAACTGAATTGATAGAAGAGCTTGATAGGACTGGAAACAAAAAATGAAAAATATTTCAATTTCACTTTCAGATATATATCGACGATGTGCTAAACATGTATTTAAATAAGAAGGTCGCATATTTCCTCCTAACTTGAAATTAAGGACATTACATACGTCTCTACTCCAGCTGCCTTCCTCCGTCTTTACTGTACAACATTGCCATCAGGGACGCCATACTATTGAACTGCACGATTAGCGATACGAATTTTCGTTCATGAATTTCCCTTTTCTTGACAGTTGCATCCCAACATTCCAAACCTTCGTTGTTCGGTTTTCAAGTGCTTGCTGTGAATAGGGTTTCTAAAGATGTTGGTCGATGCAGATTATGGATAAATTTTATGGAAGCCATCATGATATTTGCGAAATATCCTATTTCCTCGTATGCTACGAATGTCCTTTAATTTGCTCATAAATATATCTTGTTATGTTGTTGTCACTTCCTCGATTCTCGATATGAGGAAGTTACATTACTTTGATTTCTAAGATTTACAAGGCAGGTATCGTCGATGAAGCAGAAGAAGCTATCCTTCCGGAACTTCTTCTTTTATTATCTAGTACTTGTTCACGGCTCACCATGTAAAATCCTGTAAATTAATTTAATTGTGTAGGATAATAGATGTATTAACCTGATAAGTTTTATTAATCGTTTTGAACTTGTCAAACACCCCCACTGCCTCTGTCTTTATCCGGTGGCTTTGTTAGAGGACTTTTATTTACACTGTCTATGAGGCAAGAGAGACAAATTACATATCTACATTAAGCAATCGATTTTAGTTAAATATACAATAAGAAGTATCACATTTAGAGGTGAATTAGATTCACTTTTACATGACATTTCCATGCAATCAATGATGCATTTTAAAGGAAGAAATTGCATTAGTAATGCAGCAACAATATATATACGTACATTAATAAACAGTTGACTTTCTTCAATTCCTGCGTTTATTTGCTTATATATTTATATATTGCCTTAGTATTAGTGCAATAGGTTTCCTCTCGATCATTTATATTCATCTTGACTAATGACCTCGAAATGTGATCAATCTTGGTGAAGCAAATATTAATATTTTCCTAAAGTAAGGGAGATAACTTTATAACGCAATCGAATAAAATGTGTGACATTTCATTAACTTAGAAGAGACACAGAAGAAAACAAACAAAAGACAAAACACGGCTCCATATTTCATAAAGAGGACAAAATGTCCTTGTAGAACTGAAGCCTATTATATTAAGAAAGTTAATGACAGATCCTTAAGTAGATACACCATTGCTTCAATATTTGAAAAATGTATTGATCTGACGTAAAATCAAATTATTTATAATAGCAAGTCATGTAATCTTCCGAGAACAAATCTTAACACTTTATTGCTTTTTTTTAAATAATTGATTGACAGCAAGTTAAGTGTGTAGACCCATACTTATCAAAATGAAAACTTGTTTGTCATCAATTAAAAATTTGAGATATTGGCTTAGCTTTATTTCCTGCATTCCTGCAATGAACATGCTGTTTTCAATTCAAGACACATTCACCAATACGCTTAATACTTGTATTGCATTATTACAAAAGAGATATACCCCGGTATTATGGTAAAATGTCAATCAATGGTATGTTTTTAATTTACAAAATGAATACTCATATATGTTTGTTCAATGATTTAAAATGACTTAGACCAGACAGAAGCGAAAAAAACACGATTGATCTCACCTTTTGCACTAGAGTTGGAAAGAAATTGTATTGAATAATCAATGTTTTGTGTGCTAGGCAAATGAATAGTGTAGATAAGGTCCTAGGGGTAGATGTATCTGTATAATTTATAATTAGTGCTCTCACGTCTTACATACCAGAGTAAGCGTGACTGTGTAATAGCCGGAATTACTGTGAACAAGACACCGCTGTGACAAGCAGATATATGGGGGCTATCTGTTCTAACACACTGTCAGGTCAACGCTATGGAATGTTCTTTTTTTGTTCAGATAGTAAATCTTTTGAGCGTAAGATCTCGAGATTCATTTTGATAGACATCCAATAACATTACTAAGAAAAAGATGTAACTACAGTTAAATTAGTACATACAACTTATAAATCAATGTCTTACTGATTTCTTTTACTGAAAAAATCACATTCCGTCTTTTAGACAGGTTTTTGGTGGTAAATAAAACGGTATGAAAATAACGTCAACAATCCTGAACAGATTCTAAATTTAGCACATGGAATAAGAAGTAGGATTTTTTAAAACTTTATTGTGAACTATACACTGATCCCCTCATTTTTTTTTTGAATGGATAATATCATATTTTGTTTACATATTTATTTCATTGATATATACGGGTGCACTGACATATGCTTTCTAAATTGCTTCAAACACCTTACAATGACCATATGGACGAAATACAACCTTGATGTATAAGTATATCAGTCACATTCATGAATAAAAAAAAATAATTTGATATTTTGGGAGGAACCAAATGAAATGTTAGAACACTCGTACTAACATTGGTGAATTATCATATTTTCGTTTTGAGGAAAAAAACGAAGTATTAAATTGCTATCTTAACACTACAAGTTGTTAACATATTTCCTTAAGTTAGTACGT